TGTGATAGGGAGTGTCAAGGGTTTTTGTAAAAATACATTTCCCTTCTTTCCAATTGCCCATTGAAAACTTGAGAGGGGAAACATGCCCCCTGGGCAATATGTGGCTCCGTTACTAACCCATACCATTGTATCTTTGCAACCAGAACACGCATGCATCCTCATTAAGCCTCAGAACAAGAGAGCACTAACAAAAAATGTTCAGAAAAATCACAACATTATAACTAAAAAGGGCTAGAAACTAAATTATAAAGAACTGTAATGTACCTTCCGGAGAAAGGAAGCCTCAAGAAAAGATTGGACATTGTGTTGACAACATCAGCCGTATAGAATTGATAAAGTACCAGTTGCAGGATTGCAAACCACAAGTTCTTTGTAATAGTCTCTGCAGAATGTCGAGCCACACCATGGCCAACCTATATTTTATGCACATCAAAAAAAGATCAACTTTTTAGTCTTATCTTCCCACAATTCTACAACTATTAACCAAACAAATCAAATTACAATTAAACACAAAAACTGCTTTCACAACACTAAAGAACTAACCAATACCAAACAATGAAAATCTTCTTACCTCATGACCAATGATCGTCGCAATCTCGGCATCGCTTCTAAAATGCTTGAGCAACCCCGTGAAGACGACAATCTTCCCACCCAACAAGCAAAATGCATTGACAACAGGCCGATCCACTACCAAAACCTCCCAATTCAATTGATCCAAATACGAAGTGGCAGCTTTCAAACCTCTCTCCCTACTCGTCTTCCTACTCTCCTCAATCCACTGATCATCAAGAATCTCATCCTCACGGGACCACTTCCCCTTCTCCGGAGCGTCATGCAGTGCCATCAAAGTATCCTTCCCACCACCTTCATGCGCCGGCTCCACTTTACCAGACGCATAGTCCACATCAGTCCAGGTCACCTCATGGCTCAACCCTCTCTGCAAAGCCTCAATTATATCCTTGGCAATCAACCGAACCCGTACGCTATCCGGGTATATGGCGGGCAAAATATCCCCTTTGAAACTCTCTTTGATTTGCTGGAATTGGGACTCCCCCAACCTCTTCTCCAAGGCGTTGGACAAAATTATAAAATGGGTTCGCTTCGTGTACGGAATCGTCTCCAAATTCCCAAAATACAGAGATAAAAAACTCAGAACCTACAAGACCCACAATCAAAACGTTCCTAGGATTCTCAAACCACTTCCGGGGGCCTCTCGGCTTGAAGTGGTGAACCCGGATTCGGTCGACGTAGTAATATCTCTTAGTGCAATAAAGAAAGGAGCTTTTGTCATGTGTTGTTCTTGTGATTCTACCAAGTTGTGGAATTGATTTGTGTAAAATTGAAGAACTGGAAGAAAACCCAGAAAACTTAGCTGAGCTGAAGACCGGAGCGGAAGACCCAGTTGAAAAAACGCGAGAGATGGGTTCTCTGCCTGCGGCTTTGGGGGCAATCCTCGCCGTAAAGCCGCGGAAGGCGTCGAGTGCGAGCTTTGCTCTTTCTGTACGATCCCATCACGAATTGGGTGTATCATACAAACGAGAAAGACGAATGGTTTTTTTTACAAAGATTTGAAATTTTGGAGAGAAATGGGGTTTTGGATCGGCGGATTTTGTGGGTTTAAGCTTTGGGATGAGCGTGAACTAGGAACTTGGAAAAGAAGCTAGGACGGTCTATGTTGCCGCATGAAAGAGATACAAGAAGGAATTGCCGTGTTTCTAAAAAAAATTGCGGTGAGAGAGTGCCAAAACGACGACGTTAAGTCTCTTAATATAGTTTGGGGGTGTGATATTTACCTATTTTATTTCTCTCATACCCTTCTAATTTTCGACTTTCGGATCAGATGAATTGAAAAAGATCAAGGGACATAAATTAACAAGAGGTGTGTGAGAAGTAAAAAGAGGTGTGTAGATAGTACACGTGTGAGAAGTAAAAAGAGGTATATAAATAGTACATCCCATAGTTTGCTTGTGTAGCACTGCACGTGTACGTTATGCCATTTGATTTTGGCGGTTCAATCGTCTCTTGTATTTGAGTGTAGCCAATTTTCTTTGTATTCTATTTCAAATTCATTTAGTTTAGAAGATTGCCTTGTCAGAATTTTAACATAAGACTCAATAGTTATTTAATAGTATATAAACATAATATAACATGAATCATTGACAAATATATAAAACAATGCAGAAATTGTCACCGAATTACAATTTTGTAACGGCATTTATGCATGCACAATTATATCAGCATTATTAAGAAAATTTATTATCGGCACTCTAAAGTAAACTAACAGCACAAATAGCATTAGAAGAAAAGAAACAAACACTTGTCCTTCTCACTAGTAAATAGAAAAATTACAAAAATTAGATGGTGTTCTTACATTCCAAATAAGTGCTCTTCCACTATTAAGGGCATAAAGAAAACAGAAAAACAAAACTGAACAAAATTGAACAATAAAATAAAGAAAGGGGTTGACGCAAAAGGACTTGGATTGTCTGCCCTCCCATTTTGGTGCCCTCTCCGTGCCCTCCTGCCCGTGCCCTCCTGTTTTGTGTGGTTACGGTTAAGCCACGTCAACATTTTATATTATTTTCTTATAAAAATAATAAAACAAAAAGAAATAGTAATATAAAATGCTGACGTTGCTTAAACGTGACCACACAAACATGAGAGCACGAGGAGGGCACTGAAATGGGAGGGCAGACAATCCAAGTCCGACGGAAAACGCTATACGCAGAAAAAAAATGGTATCTTTATAACGAGCCAAACGAGGCCCTCTATCTACCGAATATTTTCTTCATCGTCAAAATATACTCCTGTCTCCGCTCAGATCAACTGGCTTTTAGTACCTCCACCGGTTGAAACCATTGTGAATGCAACCGTTTGATATTATTTGTTGCTCAAAACAGCTTACTTGAAAGGAGCCGGCGTGTCACCATCTGTTGCCGCGACCTCTCCCACCACCCCCAGCAGATCGGTTGTTGGAATACCTATAATTTCAAAAACCTCCTTCATGACCCCCGCCAAATCTTGTATTCCTTGATTCTTTTTCTTGTAAATCAGGCAGTGATTTCAACACCGTTACACTCACATTAGCTGCATTTTCCTGACCTGCACCCAACATAATACGACCACAACAATCAGACTTCAAGACATCAATACAACAAAATGAATGATAAATTCCCTGTCTAAAAGGAAAGAACTGAATAACATCAGTTTCTGGTAGAATCTTAATGAACTATCATGCTTGATGAGAATGTAATACATGATGATATAGAGATATAAAAAGAAGAATACCAGCAAGAAACAAATCCAAATCTTCAGCTGCCACATAAAAGACTGCACCATTTCCATCAGCTGTTAGTGCCATACCCTTCACTGACTCCACCTTCTCCTCGGGCAAGTATCTCCTCAAGACCCCAGAAGCAAAACTGAGACAAGGTTGGAGGAAATTAAGGGTCAAACATGATCAACAAATCAAAATGCTAACTCTAAAACAAGAACACAAACTAAACCGATAAAAGGTATAATTACGGGATATCTATATTTAAACAGCTCATAATTTCTTGGAATGACAAAGCACAATGTGACTCCTTCAGAACACAATCAATATTGTTCCCACTATTAGCTAGTGCTTGTATCCACCTGTGAAAATAAAACAAAGGAACATAAGACATATTGGTTTCGAACACAAGGAAACTAGTGATAATTGCTTACGACGGTGAATAAATGGGCTTTCCAGCCTCAAGAAGTACTGTGACTTCTTTATCTCGGTGTAACCCTGCACACCATACAATATAAGCAACTATAAGCAACTCATAAACTGATAAACAAACATTTACATTAATTAACTTAAAAAGGACATCTAGTACGGAAGAAATAGCAAATCTTACAGCAGCTTTAGCAAGTGCTTTTGCCAGTAGATCTACTGCAGATAGGCCAGAGGTATTAAGTAGCTCTTTGGCAACCGGCTTGAAAGCAGGAATTACACTGAAATGAAAAATGTATTAATATATGAACATGATTGCATCAAAATGTAACAAGCATTGCACTGTCAAGCATACCTATCAGAGATTTTGGTTGCATCATGACCTACTACTGCCTTGGCCATATTAAGTGGCTGAGGAGCAGATATGTATTCAAATTTCACCCCCGACTCTAACTCGATTTTAGAAAAATTTGACATTCTGGGATCATAAAGCATGACAGCAACTCCAGAATTGCCTGAAAATATGGACACACCTCTAAGTACCACATAACATCAAAGACATTAACTAATAAAATAAAAATAAACAAGAAATACCACATTTTTTCAAGATTTACCTGCTCTCCCCGAGAGTCCAGATCGATGGATATAATCTTCTACATCACGTGGGGGTTCACACTGAACCATAAACAATAAAAGTAAGTATATAAACTGACAAATATTACAAAGGTTCCGAATAAGCACACTGACAAACCTGGATAATTAATTGAACATCATTGATGTCCAGGTCCGTGCGCTGCCACATTTATGGCTACTAATGTCAAAAACTTGCCAGACCTGAAACCAGCAAGTGTGACCTGAAAATACAAGACCACAGGAAGGGAAACAACAAATTCTGCCATTAGAAAAACAAAAAAATCTAAGCTTTTTTTAAAAAGAAATATCACTATGGAAAGCAAAAGGACCTGAAATATCATATTTCAATATTGTACAAAACAGCGGTAAAAAGTGCATAGTTAAACAACTTACCTCACGTCAGGCTTCAGGCAACACCTCAACAAGTCCAGAAGCAGCTTCCTTTGTCTCGGTGAAAATGATTGTGCGGCCTCCACCGAGTCAGAAACAAACATATCAAGTACATGAAAAATGATTTCCAGACAAATTATACCCAAAACTAAAAACAGAAAGCATAGTTATTGCTCGCTAGAAAACAACCAACCTGCTATAACAATCTATGATATCAGGAATAAGTTGCAATCTTGCTGAACTGGAGCAAGAAAGAACAATATGCCCAACATTGGTGCTGGCCTTCATTTTTTCATTACCAACAAGATCTACAGTTTTCTTATCTGGTTTGAGAAACCTAAAAGAAATCTGGGAAAAAGAAAAAAAAATATTTCATTCATGTGTCAAGAATGGAAGGAAAGGTCTAACATTGCAACATAATCCATTTATGTTTAACTGAATTCAGAAGAACATCTAAATTCAAGATCTCAGTTAAGATACTTACACCTTTCAGCCAACTTGGCAAGGTTGCACTGAAGAGAAGCGTTTGAACTTTTCTAACATCCTTCACCTCACATGAAAATCCAAAGAACAGAAGTTACTGAGAAGTTGTGCAGTACACACAAAAATTTTGCACAATTACAGTAACGTTGTAAAAAATTGAAACTCCAGTTACCCCTGTCAACCAAAGATGCCGACAGTGCAATATAAGAATAACATTGATTTGACCAGAGTCAAATAGCAAGAGAATTCTTTGAAAACACAAAGATAAAATGATTCCAAGCTTCAGATGGACATGACAAAATTAAAAAAGTGCCTCGTCGTTTGCACTAACCACAAACATGGATACAAAATACTTTATAGAAGATATGCAGCTGTAACGCAAATAGGCAAACATGGTATGGAAAACAGATGTTGGGATTACCAAAAAGACATACCTAGAATGAGTTCAATATCATCAACAAAGCCCATCCACAGCATTTCATCAGCTTCGTCAAGGATCCTAACTTTCACGGTACTCGAGTCAATATTGCTCCTCTCTATATGATCCTACATATTTCCAAAAATTTATTTAGCTTCATAAGTATATTGCATAGTATCGAACTGACACAAGAACTCAGCTATAATGAGAAATAGTCAATACCTGTATACGGCTAGGCGTTCCAATAACAATATCCACCCCTCTCCTTAGCTTACTTTCTTGAGCCCCGTAGGGAGATCCACCGTATACACAACATAAATGAAACAAAAATTGTCAAGTGGATACTCTAAAAGCCAAACTCTGCCTGTGTAAGTTTATCTTACATTGCCGGTCCCAAGCCCGGATAAAGGAGGAGGGGGAGGGCGTCAGGTAGTCGACAGCCGGCACTCCATGATTACGTCGAATCCTTATGAAAATGAATACAGAACGAAATCGCGCTAAAGCTAAGGCGTCATCCGTAAGTGGCACGTTGTGTGGCCCGAGCACAGTGATAAGTGAGCAAGGGTCGCTGTATCTCCATCGGCACCCGGATGCAGTGTTAAATGAGCAAGGGGGCCATAGAAACTTCTTTTCGAACGACTCCATTCAAAGTTGTTTGGGAGCATATGCTCCTATCAACTTTACACGGGACACACAAAAGAAGTACTTTGATCCTATTAGACGGGGGGGGGAGGGTGAAGAAGCTAGGACAGAAGGGTAGAGTTCAAGAGAGCAAAATGCGTTTAGGAACGTGGAATATAGGAACCTTAACGGGCAAATCTATGGAAGTAGTGGAAGTTATGATGAGGAGAAGGATAAATATTATGTGCCTACAAGAAACTAATTGGGTTGGTCGTAAGTCAAAGGATCTAGAAAACTCAGGGTTTAAACTTTGGTATTCGGGCACAAATAGAACGAGAAACGGTGTTGGCATCATCGTGGACAAGACCTTGACACAAGATGTTGTAGATGTCAAGAGGGTAGGAGATAGAATCATGGCAATCAAGATTGTAATAGGACAAGAACTTATCAATGTGATTAGTGCGTACGCACCTCAAGTAGGGTTGGATACGAGTTCGAAGGAGAAATTTTGGGAAGACCTTGGAGACTTGATGCAAGGAATTGCTCAGACGGAGAAGTTATTTATAGGAGGAGATTTAAATGGACACGTGAGCAGGGAGACAGGCAACTATGGAGGTTTTCATGGTGGCCATGGTTTTGGGGAGAGAAACGAGGATGGGGAAGCTATCTTAGATTTTGCAATGGCATATGATCTCTTCTTAGCCAACACCTTCTTTAAGAAGAGAGAAGAAACATGTGATCACCTACAAGAGTGGGTCGTCAAAAACACAAATAGATTTTCTTCTAATGAGGAAAGAGGATTGTATAACTTGTAAGGATTGCAAAGTTATACCAGGAGAGAGCGTGGCTAATCAACATCGCTTGTTGGTGATGGATGTACATATCAAAAGAGTGAGAAAAAAGAACAAGACTTGGAAGTGCCCAAGGACTAGATGGTGGAATCTAAAAGAAGAAAAACAAGCCATTTTCAAAGAGAAAGTAATCACCCAGTGTGTGTGAGATAGAGAGGGGGAAGCTAGCCAAATGTGGGATTCCATGGCTAGTTGTATCCGAAAAGTAGCAAAAGAGGTATTTGGACAGTCCAAGGGCTTTGCCCCACACCAAAAGGAATCTTGGTGGTGGAATGAGGAGGTACAAACAAAGGTGAAGGCTAAGAAGGAATGTTGTAAAGCCTTATACAAGGATAGGACCGATGAAAATGGTGAAAGGTATAGAAAAGCGAAGCAAGAGGCGAAGAAAGCTGTGAGAGAAGCTAAGTTAGCGGCTTATGACGATATGTATAAGCGACTAGATACCAAAGAAGGAGAGTTGGATATCTATAAACTAGCTAGAGCAAGGGAAAAGAAGACAATGGACCTTAACCAAGTGAGGTGCATCAAGGATGAGGATGGAAAGGTTCTTGCTACAGAGAACGCGGTTAAAGATAGATGGAGAGGTTATTTTCATAATCTTTTCAATGAAGGACATGAAAGGAGTGCTTCTTTAGGGGAGTTGAGGAACTCAGAAGAGTGTAGAAACTACTCTTTTTATCGTCGAATCCGGAAGGAAGAAGTGGTTGTAGCTTTGAAGAAGATGAAGCATAGAAAAGCAGTAGGCCCAGACGATATACCAATCGAAGTGTGGAAAGTTTTGGGAGAGACAAGTATAACATGGCTCACTGACATTTTCAATAGGATTTTGAAAACGAAAAAGATGCCAAATGAGTGGCGAACGAGCACTTTGGTGCCTATCTACAAGAATAAGGGCGACGTACAAAATTGCATGAACTATAGGGGTATTAAGCTAATGAGTCATACAATGAAGCTCTGAGAGAGAGTCATTGAGCATAGATTGAGGCAAGAAGCACGAGTTTCGGACAACCAATTTGGGTTCATGCCAGGACGCTCAACCATGGAGGCAATCTATCTCTTACGAAGATTGATGGAAAGATATAGAGATGGGAAAAAGGATTTACACATGGTCTTTATAGATTTGGAAAAAGCGTATGATAGGGTCCCAAGAGACATTCTTTGGAGGATTTTAGAGAAAAAAGGAGTACGAGTAACATATATCCAAGCTATAAAGGATATGTATGAAGGAGCAAAGACTGCCGTAAGAACTCATGAAGGACAAATCGAAGACTTTCCCGTAACTGTAGGATTACATCAAGGCTTATCCTTAAGTCCTTACCTTTTTGCGTTGATAATGGATGAGTTAACAGGACATATTCAAGATGATATTCCTTGGTGTATGCTTTTTGCAGACGATATAGTGTTGATAGATGAAACTTGGGAAGGGGTAAATGCAAAGCTTAACCTTTGGAGAGAAGTGTTGGAATCTAAAGGTCTTCGCCTAAGCCGATCAAAGACAGAATATATGGAGTGCAAGTTCAGTGCAAATGGAGGCCAAAACGAGTTAGGGGTGAGGATCCGGAGATCAAGAAATACCAAAGAGCGACCGTTTTCGTTACCTAGGATCTATCTTGCAAAAGAACGGAGAATTAGATGGAGATCTCAACCATAAAATACAAGCTGGATGGATGAAGTGGAAGAGTGCATCCGGCGTGTTGTGTGACCGCCGTATGCCACTGAAGCTCAAGGGAAAATTTTAGGATGGCAATAAGGCTGGCGATGCTGTATGGCACAGAATGTTGGGCGATGAAGCATCAACACGTACATAAAATGTGTGTAGCGGAGATGAGGATGCTTCGTTGGATGTGTGGGCACACGAGAAAGGATAAGATTAGGAATGAGGATATCCGGGGTAAAGTAGGAGTAGCCGAAATTGAAGGAAAGATGAGAGAAAATCGGTTACGGTGGTTTGGACATGTGCAAAGAAGGCCTACTGATGCTCCGATTAGAAGATGCGACTATGAGACAGAGGTTCAGGGCCGAAGGGGTAGAGGAAGACCTAGGAAGACCTAGGAAAACTTTGGAAGAGACTCTAAGAAAAGACTTAGAGTACTTGGATCTAACGGATGACATGACACAGGACCGAACACAATGGCGTTCTAAGATTCATATAGCCGATCCCACTCAGTGACTTGGATTTTCCAAGTCTCCAATCGAGAAGTTTTCCTCACTCGGGAAATTAAGGGAACACTACCTCAACCTACATGCTCCACTCACAAAGCTTCAACATACAAGCTTCAACAAAAGAAAATTCAAAGAACTTAGCGAAGAAGGGTTTGGTGTATTTAACACAATACGTTGAAATGAAGGAAAGCTTATTTATTGATATCCCCGATAAGTTACAAATATGTACATATACATAAGTCAAAATAAACAAACAAGAGGGAGCCTTCACAAAGGTTGCTTAGGAGAAGTCTCAGCAGTCGGTAGAGCCCTAGAAAGAGAAGGCACCGGAGGGGGATCATTCGGAGCCTCAGTACTGGACAGAACCTTAAAAGGAGGAGGCATCAGAGGTTGATCATTTGGAGCTTCATTACGCGGTACAGCCCCAGAAGACGAAGGCAATAAATGCCTTTGGAACAAACCTACAAATCTCTGATGATCAAGTAAAACCTGACCATCAGATTCCTTCATCTTGTCAAGCTTCCTCTTCATGTTTGTAGCATAGTCATGTGTGAGCCGGTGCAACTGTTTATTCTCATGCTTGAGCCCTCTAATCTCCTGTTTGAGACTCATCACTTCAGCCGCCAATAATTCAACTTGGCGGGTTCGAGCAAATAGGCGTTGGGCCATATTAGACACAGAACCTGCACACTGAACACTGAGAGCCAGAGAATCCTTAACAGCCAACTCATCATACCGTTTGGAAAGTAATCTGTTATCTTTGGGAGTGAGAAGGTTCTTGGCCACCACCGCAGCGGTCATATCATTCTTCATCACGGAATCCCCAACGGTAAGAGGACCAGTAGGGGAGACGAAGGATGGGCACCATATGTTGTCTGGAGAAGGTGGGGCTGCCTCTTCAACAAGGTTCAAGTCAAAACGACGGTCGGAGGGGCCAGACATTTTCAAAGGTGTTGAAGAGAGAAGAGGTCGGACAAATCAAGATCTTAGAAGTGCAAGAATGGAGCTTCTACTGGTGGAGATTCAAGTGTGCTTTGGAACTTAATGCAAGCCCCTATAAAAATCTGCACTCGACGGAGCTTCAGAAATCGAAGAGGCGTTTGCTTTCTAAAAAACTGGGCTGCTCAGAGACCACGAGGGTCGATCTCAGAAATCGAAGAGGCGTTTGCTTTCTCAAAAGCTGGGCTGCTCAAAGACCACGAAGGCCGATCTCAGATATCGAAGAGGCGCTTGCTTTCTCAAAAGCTGGGCTGCTCAGAGACCAATAGGGCCGATCTCAGAAATCGAAGAGGCACCTACTTTTCCAGCCTTGTCAGCACCTGTCACACGCACACTCAGCTTTGCGGAAATTAGGGGCATTCTGTCGAAGATTTCTGGTGAAGTAGAAAGCACATGAATCTTACTGTTCAATCACCCACTTCCCACACGCAACATTAGCTCATGGGTACCACATATAACTTTGCCAAAGTTCTCTGACAAAGTTGAGACACGTGAAGCTTGCAGCTCCCACTACATCGCTCTGACCAAGAAGGGTAAAAGAATTGCAAAGAAACAGCACTAACAAAGTTTAGACACATAAATTTTGAAGGTCTAGCTACCATATTATTACCCACAAGGGTAAAGGAACAGTACCACTACTGGATAATTGGAAAGTCCTTGTGTGTCAACCTCTGTGCTTCGTGGCAAGGTAGACTAGCAAACATGCCCAACCTTTACTCACATTCGAGAAAACACTTCCAACAAGATTGCTTGCTCCAAAATCGAAGAGGCACCGCCCTCTGAATCTCGAGAGCCAGACTCCCAACATGATTACTTTCTCAAAAATCGAAGAGACACCGCTCTCCGAATCTCGAGAGTCAGACCTCCAGCAGGATTGCTTTCTCAAAAATCGAGGAGGCATCGTTCTTCGAATCTCAAGAGCCAGATCCTCGACAGGATTGCTTGTTCGAAAATCGAAGAGGCACCACTTTCCCAACTTCAAGAGCCGGATCTCCTTAGATAAAGCTTGTCTGTAATCTTCACACACAACATCAGCTTTTCAGATACTACAGACCACTTTTTCAAAGTACTCTGACAGAGTTAAAACATGTGAAGCTGGCAGCTCCCATTACCGTGCTATGACCAAGCAGGGTAAAGGAATAGTATTACTACTTATTGTTAGGAAGACTCCTATATATGTCGACCTCCATCCCCAACGGACAGGCAGACCTGCAAAAATGCTCAACCCTTCCTCATATCTGAGAGAGCACTCCCAACGAAGCCTTTTGAAATATTCAGCTTTCTTTCCTCCCGATAATACTTCTGCAAACAAGCTATACTAGAGCAAGAATATCTCATATCATCAGGGTTAAAAGCAAGAGTATCTCATATCATGCTTTTTCCCTGTCTTTTCCTTTGGCCTTGTTCTTACCTGCAAGACAAGGAGAAAGAAAGCAATCAGTCATCACTTGGAATCAAGCTTCCAGCCAAGAACCTCTTACCTGATTACTTACCTGGCATTGCTCTTGAGTACTCATCTTCAACATCTTATGCTTCCAGGGAAGATACCGCATCTGCCTGAGGAACAAATAGGGCAAGTGAGAAGGATACAATGAAGCATGTGGAGACAAGCGTAACAGCACACGTGCCGATACATCCACTACTCTGTCAAAAGCAAAAGTATCATATATCAGCAGGGTCGAACGTACTCTAGATTTGATGGACTTGTTTTGACCCTCAAATTCTCCAGTCGGCCTTATACTCTGGAGGAAATCAGAAAACCCTTCAGCTCAGTTCAAGAATAAGCATGTGGAAAGTTACTTCTTCAAAAGCAAAAGTATCCCATATCATATCTTCTCATTTTTCTTCTCTTTATCCTTCATGCTGCCTGCAAGATAGGGAGAATGTGAACAATCAGCCGGAACTCGAAATCAAAGTTCTGATCTGGGACTGATTGCTTGGAGCTCTGATTGTTTACCTTGTTTGTCACCTCTTTCAATAGATCCCCTAGCTCGGCGACTTGGGGGACTCCTACTACATGGTTTGTATCGCGCTTGACCAAGCCTGAAACTACAAGTAAGCTTCAAGTGAAATTGATACATTACCTTGTGCATCTCCACCAGTTAAAGATACCACCCCTGGATGGAGGAAGAGTACTTCCAGAGAAGATGCCACATCTACCTATGAGACAGATAAGGCAAGTCAAGACGATACCACACTCCGGTACTTAGAAGTTTCATGATTACGAGATCATTCTCCCACAATATTTCCTAATGTCATTTGTACTAAATCATTCACTTGTACTCACTAAAGGAGAGCTTGAACCTATGTACTTGTGTAAACCCTTCACAATTAATGAGAACTCTTCTATTCCGTGGACGTAGCCAATCTGGGTGAACCACGTACATCTTGTGTTTGTTTTCCTATCTCTATCCATTTATATACTTATCCACACTAATGACTGGAGCAATCTAGCGAAGATCACAAAAAGCAACCGTTTTCGCTACCTAGGATCTATCTTGCAAGAGAACGGAGAATTAGATGGAGATCTCAACCATAGAATACAAGCTGGATGGATGAAGTGTAAGAGTGCATCCGGCGTGTTGTGTGACCGTCGTAGGCCACTGAAGCTCAAGGGAAAATTTTATAGGACGGCAATAAGGCCAGCGATGTTGTATGGCACAGAATGTTAGGCGGTGAAGCATCAACACGTACACAAAATGGGTGTAGCGGAGATGAGGATGCTTCGTGGGATGTGTGGGCACACGAGAAAGGATAAGATTGGGAATGAGGATATATGGGGTAAAGTAGGAGTAGCCGAAATTGAAGGAAAGATAAGAGAAAATCGGTTACAGTGGTTTAGACATGTGCAAAGAAGGCCTACTGACGCTCTGGTTCGAAGATGTGACTACGGGACAGAGGTTCAGGGCCGAAGGGGTAGAGGAAGACCTAGGAAAACTTTGGAAGAGACCCTAAGAAAAGACTTAGAGTACTTGGATCTAACGGAGGACATGACACAAAACCGAGCGCAATGGCGTTCTAGGATTCATATAGCCGACCCCACTTAGTGGGAAAAAGCTTTGTTGTTGTTGTTGTTGGATACTCTAAAAGCCAAACCATTGCAAGCATATGGTCCAGACTCCAGGGTAAATTAAAATTACCTGTTCGGCAAATTACCTGGTGGGTAAAAGCACGATAACAGTTGGAAGCCTACCATAACCAGTCTTTCTAAATGCTTTTGCAGGCCCATTTGTTAAGGACTCCAAAACGAGTAACACAAAAGCTAGAGTTTACCCTGAAATATTGCAAAAGAATGAGCATACAATTCAGAAACTGAACAAAAATCACATCAATAAGCTAAATATTCCAATCCAATTCAACAAACCACAAAACAATGATAAAACTTTGTGCTTTTTGGTAACAATTTGGGGTTTCAGAGTAAAAATTTGTGCTTGTTGAGTAAATTAAATTCACCTGTCCAGTTCGAGCCCGACCAACCAAGTCCAAACCATCCAAAATGGTATCAAATGTCATGGCCTGAATAGGAAACAAGGACTCGATCCCATTCTCCTTCAATTTGGCCCTCAACAGCAGAAATCGGATACTTGGACACCGCATTAGGATCCTCTTTGTGCTTCTCCTCCTCCTCCTCCGGCTCCACCTTCGCCTTCTTCGACTTCTTCTTGCTCTTCTCCTCGCTCTTTGGCGGCTTTCTGCAGCAGAATAAATGGTGCACAAAGGGATTTAAAATCTTGACATCTGTGTATTTTGGCAGACGTTGGGAAACTTAACAGTTTGAGTTGTTAGTTTACCTGCCAAACCCAAACGAAAAGATAGGCAACAGTGTACCTCTCCCTGGCGACATAATCACATAAGCAATTGAAAGCCGCCGCACGCGGCACAACGACCGATCGATTGCTTCAAGGCAGAGCTTCGTATCCCACAATCAGCGTACCGACCGATTGGATGCCGATGATGTTTAGGAGTATAGTACACGTGTCAAAATGTCAGTATCCCAATTATCAATTTCTACTGCACTAGCCTACAAGCGTACTAAATCTTCAAAGTTGACAGGTAATTCAGAAAGATTTGTGCACCCACCGGGATGCACAAGGATTCTGCAGTCTCTCAGATGTAATACCTCAAGCCCCTGAAGCCGTTCAATCGAGGGGGAAAGCTCTTCGATAGATGTTCCATCCAAATGAAGCTCAACTTTTGTACAACCAGAAAGATTAACATTTCTAAGGGATTCAAGTTGAAATCTGATGCTCGGAAGACTCTCAAGTTCCTTACAATCTTCTAGGTCCAAACGATGCAAATCCGTAATATTAATAATTGACGAGGGTAATTCTTTAATTTTGTACGCAGATAAATTAAGCTCCGATAGTTCTATCATAAGTTAACCTCATGATGGGCTAGAAGACTAGTAATAATGTGATTCAGATTCGCCTTTGACGAGAATCAAATCTAATACTACTAAACTGTAATACTAAGTGACTATTTATTAATTAAAAGCCAAACTTTCATTTACGCAAACTAATTGAATTTTGAAGAGAAATATGTGAAAGTACAAAAAACCATCTATACGAATTAAAAAGTGCACCCCAATCTGTATAAAACACACCAAACAATGCTTTTGAATTTTGAAGAGATCATGGTTAATAAACGATCTGGATTCTAGTTCCGGAGCATCGTCGTGTCCCCACTAGCGATAACGTCCATCTCCCAAAGGTAACTTGGCATGAAATGAATCCAGATGCTCTCTAATGATCCTGAGCCTAAGGATTAAATGATCCGAACCGTTGAAATTTGATTCAACGGTTATAATTATTATAATTTTTAAAGGGGTCTTCTGTTTGTAACCATTTGATCAAATTTCAATGGTCCGGATCATTTGATCCTTAAACTCAAAATCATTATATCCGGAGAGGATCTGGGTTCGCATGAAATTATCCTGCTCCTGTAAATTTGAAGTCCCAACTAGTAAACATAATATAATAATATGGAGGGAAATAATTAAGATTTATTAGACAACTAATTAATTGGTTGATACATGTATTTGCAAATTATTGCAAAATGATTGGATTCTTTAGTTTTTTAAGAAAATTAATGAAAATAGCTTGAAAATTTTGAGTTTTAACGATAAAGACAAAATAAATGGTAAAGTGAATAGTATCAAATTTGACTTTTTAGTGTAAAAATATGGTTTTTCCTTAAAGTGAACAATACTGCGGGTTTTTCCGTTAAAACTCTCTAATTTTTTTAGTACACAGCCACTTGATTAGTTGCTCACTTCACATTTCTTTTAGGAGTGTGATATCCACACACCCCATTTTACTTCTCACACACATTTCTAATTTTCGCCCGTCAGATCGGATGAATTGAAGAAGATCAACGGATATAAATTAATAAGAGTGTGTGAGAAGTAATTTGGGATGTGTGGATAGCACACCCCTTCTTTTATTATTAATAAAGATATCAAATTTTTTTTACCCTTTTTTTTTTGGGGAATTGTACACGTTGATGTTAATCGACTTTAGGCCAAGCTGACTGTTTCTTTTTGGGAACATTCCGAGCTACACCCTTGAACGATCCTCCCATGATGCGTTTACCATGGATCGGTTGCAATGCCTTCAACTGCTTTTGTATCCTGTATAATCCAACAATGAAAATTCAGCGAGTGAAAATATTCAGAATTTGATTTTTGTCATACTTAAGCTTTCTACTCAATATCACATACTTAAAAAGAAGAGATAATGAATATATCTCGCCGTATTTTGAGTTAATGCATGATGAACATCGTCATCAATTCATAACTTACTTCATCTTCCAAACCCTCTATTAGATTCTTGGCAAACTATTTCCAACCCAATTTCTTGTAGTAAATCATGCATTTCAAGCGTATCGTTGTAATCCGAGATGGTGATGAGAGTTCTGTTAACTAGTACTCCTAATCTACTATGGGGATAAAAGCCACAGCTATCAAGAATTTTAGTTACATAGTCTTTCTCCATCCCTTTAAAGAAACATGCAAAGCTCCCAAGATTTTAAGTGCTACAAGCACGCCAAGAACATGTTTATGGGAAGCCTCGATAGACAATCATAATCTCTTGTGGGTTGGTTTGTTCAAGGCATACTGCTTGAAGAGTTCAAAAGCTTCTGACTCACTTAAGTTTTTGGGCTTATATACAATTACAGCATCAACTCCACTTAGTAATTGCATATCTCTAGTTGTTATAATTGTTGTGCACGAATAGACCAAACGAATTGGAAACCAACTCAAGCTAACTGATAGGAAATATACCAAATAAAATACAAGAATAAAATTGAAAAGACACCAAGATTTAACGAGGTTCCTTAACAGTCAGTGTAACTGGAGTACGTCCTCGGAGCTGTAGGAGCTCACCAATAATCCACTATAAACCAAATGGAAATGAGAGTGTTTACAAAGTGTTTGGCAATCTCACAATCCAAAATCCCAATACACCCAATAACTCTCACACACCAAAGAAACAAATAGAGAAGGAAATACAGTGATTAATTTCCTCTTTATACAAAACACAAAGCTAATCACATGCCCCAATTGTGGGCTTTCACATGGGCCATTAAACACCCAACTAATTTTGGGCTACTGGGCTTATCAAACGCAAAGGCCCAATGTAATTCGGCCTCAAATTCAACAATGACCTGATTTCCACCACCAAATGAATGCTGCTTTCCAAGTAAGGCTTCAATTTGGGATTATTTTTCAACATCATTAAGAAAGAAGCAGTTCATGCATGGATACACTGGTGCTAAAACCTTTTCTCACGTAGATCCCAAAAAGGTCCGCTCTCGGCCATTCCAAACGCTGCCTAGCAAAGGAGTGGTTATCTGAAGCGATTTACATCACCATTATCTGAGAAGCCTTCCTTGACATTTTCGAGAAAGCAGCAAGCTTCAAATTGACAAGCGATTTCATCATAAAAGAGTCAAAGCTTCAAATTGGCATCATCCCTGTGAAGTTATAGAATTATCAAACCTATGTTTTATTAGGGGTGGGTTCAAAAAACCGAAAACCGAAAAAAACCGAAAACCAAACCGAACCGAATTCTTTTGGTTCGGTTCGGTTTTAGTGATCTAGAAACCGAACCAAACCGAATTAATTAAATTAATTTTTTTATTTAATTATTTGTTTTAGGTATTATTTTCTAAACCCAATTTGTAAGTTAAAATGTGCTAACCCAATGTGTTGCCAAACTTTAAGCTCAAAATATTTAAAAAGGCCTATAAAAACTCTAAACCCTAACCTATTATTTCTCCCCCATATAAGGTTCCGGAACCAAACCTCTTCCCGAAATACCTACATCCATCTCCATAGCACTGTCTACTTCTGCGCCAGCTTTCTTTTCCAAATCTACTCTCATATAACATGTAACATAATCCATAAACATTTATTTCGAGTAGATTACTTGGGTAATTTGTGATGGAAAAGAATCCAACACACACTAAATAAATCCACCCACGCATTACCTTTACTAATCAAGTTGTCAACATGCAGTTACAAGCAAACAACACTGATCTTTGAACAACATCATACAATTTAACTTTTCTAAGTCATTTATACGATTTTTGTGTGATTTTTGTGTTGTGAGGTTGTTAGTTTGGACTTTGAAAGACTTGATTGATGATTTTAGTTCAACTTTAAATGTTTATTTTCATTGTCTTTGATTCTAGTTAGAATGTTTATGTTATGATTGTGTTGGATATGTTAAAATTTAAAATTTCAATGTTTTTCATTTTTTAAAAAAAAAATAAAAACAAAAAACCGAAACCGAACCGAAAAAAACCGAAAAAAAATTGAACCGAACCGAACCGAACCGAAATTTCGGTTTGGTTTCGGTTTTGGCAAAAAACCGAACCGAAATTTCGGTTTGGTTTCGGTTTTGGCAAAAAACCGAACCGATTTAAACCGAACCCACCCCTATGTTTTATAACAAGCCCAAAAGAGTCAAAGGAATGCATGTTCACTTGCTTGCAAATTGAAATTAACATACTTTAACCGCACAAATTTCATAATCTGAATTGTTCATGTTCTTGAGCATATATTTCGCCAAATTGGTGAATCAATCAAATTGGTGAACATTAGCCATTTAAATTTAAGGATGTTAGAAGTGACCAAAATCGTTGATTTGTTCGATACATATAGGTAATTAACAATCTCCAGCTAATCTTGATAAAGAAAATGAACACTTTCAAGTTATGATATTTCTACAGTAAAAATACTTTAACAGCAAGTGCATGTGAAAAAAATTAAACTTATAATTTTTCGAATCCCAACCGTATGGATCGACTCCGTATAAAACAGGAACCACTATCTGCTTGTGTGCATCCACGCATTCCATTATCTGGACAAGTTCTTTCAAGCACCACGTCAAAGAAGCATAGTTTTCGGAAAAAAAAACTAGGGTCAAAAGCCTGAGTAGCTAATAGCTGCCAGGAGCTCCGAAAGGTCGTTGCCTTTTGAAGCTCTTCGGCGTCGATAAGGGTGTTGATTGCTTTCTGATCCAGAGCTTTGTTGAGATGGCCGACGAAGAAGAAGCAGCAGCCTCGAGTCCTCTAAAATTCAGGAACACATCGTACTTCCAATGACTGTCGGATGAAGACGAAGAAGCGGCAGCAGCAGCCATTCGCATGCACGGGATTGATCGCAGAAAGTACTCTGTAAGCGATGATTGACTAGCTCATGTAATGCAAGGACTGAAATGCTCGGACAGAATAAAAAGCATGAATAATTAATATAAATATACATTGAAATTAAATCATGCCAAAAAGAAAAAATAAACTCCAGTGCATGATTCACAGTGGAGGTAGCCAAACTACAACAACAGAGCTTCTCACCCCTTGCACTCCATCCTTCCACACCAATCCTCCAAATTCTGGAACCGCCTGCCGGGATTTCATGGTAAGGTGATCTTATGAGAAAGCTTTTCGTTTGCTCTGGTGAAGTTAAACGTCTGAGGCTCGACTTTCACATAAGCACCTCTGGACTGTGAAACTATGGTGTGGTAATTCGAAACCGCAGAGCCAACATCAGCGACAGTTGTTTGAAGAGTCAAAACAGACATTCGTTCTGCATTAGCAGCTGTGAATGCCAAAATCAGACCAATGGCTCCTGCATCTTTCACCACCTGTCCCACCTGTCCCTCCTGCACTCTGGGTCTAATACCAGTCACAAATCACAATCTTCCCGGTAACAACGCTGCAATCTGAAGTTCCTTCCAAACACAAGGAGGTGTGATCAGGGCAAGTTGAATTGCTTCAAATATACAACATCAACCTCCTCTCTTCATTCATTTCAAAACAATAATAGATAAAAGAACAACTCCAAAGAAGTGAACTGCACTTCAATTCCAAAAAAGTAAAAGTGAAACTCTGGAGTTCATAGTGAGAGAGGGTTTGGGGCGTTGAGGTGTGCTTGCAGTGGATTGAGTCGTGGCAACTTATTCATTCGGTGGAATTGTGAGTGACTGTGAGTGACTGTGAGAGACAGACATTGGTCGCTGAGGGGACTTTGAGTATTTGGGGATGAGTCGAGGAAAGTCGGTCAAGCTTTGTTAACAAATGTCCCCTACCAATAACTGGAGAAATTGGCTAGACAAACGTGTGAGTAACACATGAAATCTAGACTCGCTAACTGGCTAAGAAAACCAACAAACGAGAAAGGCTGTGTAGCAGCTCTTGTTTGATGTATTGAATACCATGGTTCACTCAGCGAGAAAGGCTTCATTTCTCTTTGATTTCCTCCACAGGAAAAGGTGTTCAAAATTTTGTAACTACCTAAGCTACTGATGAATGCAGATTGTGCTGATGATACATACGACTAGATTGAAAAACCCGTCATTATACCCCACTAACGCCAAAAAAGCAATCTAATCTAGACTAATATAGTCATGTACACAAATTCAGATATAGAAATGTTAAGATAAAAGGAAATGCAAAGTACCTTTTACCCAAATTCAGATATAGGACTCCAAAAAATGCTAGCAAAAATAAGATAAACAGCCTGAAGATTTAAAAAAAAGTCAAAGTTAAAACTAAAACAAAGTTTAAAAGTTGACACTCATAGAGTCTGCATTTTTTTTTAAACAGTACTGAATAATCACAATATTCTACTCGAGATTCATACACCAATGGAGGAGCCAAGTTCAAAATTCAATAAATTAGAGTATTACTGGTCTCTTCTGTAATAAGTGCAGTTTACACATAGTCTGCAAGTTCAATGTCTTTGAGTTGCAATATTAATGCAGTAAGTATCATAAATTAGTCTTTAGAATTCCTAAGTATATTAATGTAGATCTTTCAAGATTCATGTACCAATTAGCCTAAAAGGGGCTAGCTTGTTAGCTTTCAAAATCAGTGTTAGTGGAAAGAAATCTTGGATTTTCTGCTAGTGTGTAGGCACATTAACCTTGGAGTGTTTCCAAGGCACCTTCTGGGGGATGCCAAAGGATGGAGTGAGTCCAAATATCTTCTTGTCTGCCTAACTGCTCTTATAGTCCTACATCTTATGTGCACATGAAATTATGTGTAGGTGTTCAACATTTACAGAGGCTATGATGTCCCTCTGTTCTATAGGTGTTCCCTTCAAGGTAAAAACAGAGTAAAATATCTGTCACCATGCTATCTACAGAACATAAAGCTATGAAACAAGAAGAGAAGTGACTGAAGAATGATAAATTAGCTTACATGGCAAGCAGTTGGGTACCCACGCCCAAGACAGCACAAAACAATGACATGTTTGGGGGATATCTGAAAACATCACCATGAATGTATTTCCAGCCAACCTCCTTGTCTTCTTCTTCGTCACTGTTTGAGAACCTATGACAAGATTAATTACACTAGGCTGACCAAGTAAAAATATAATGTAGTTGGACAAGATTGTGAATAATGTTTTACTTTTTCATCTCATTCTTGAGGCGGCGTACTATGAGCAAAGCAAGCAATCCCATCAAAAGCACAATGATGATAATAATGAATGACAACCAATGAATTTTCTGGCGGACTGGCATTAATGAAGCCTTTGAGTACTTGTCCATCCTGTTCTGGAACTGAGTTGATGTGGCTTTCCAGTTAACCGAATAAGTGAACTCAACGTCAATATCAATATCTTCTGTTACATCAACAGCATGATTTGGATCACTAAAAGCATGTATTTCTATTACTTGGTTTCCATTGTAAAGAACATCAAAAAGAAAATGTGTGAACAGATAATACTTGGTCCCTTTTCCCAGCTCTCATCTTCAACTTTTCGGATGTACCCCTAGACTGGAAGATCATCACAATACATCTGGAAGTAAAATTCATTACTGATAACATCCCTGAACTTCACAACTTCAACAACTTTAAGCTTCTTCGGACACAGGCTCTCTCCAGCTTTGTATTGCTTAGTCGAAGAAGTAACTGAAACCTTATATCAATAATTAGTTGTAACTTGTGCCCAGGTTTTCTGCAAGTACATACGATGCAATATCAGAACAATGAGTTTTTCATCATTAAATATCACAAAAATTTGCACTACATAAAGAATGTAAGGAAAAAGTTAAACATATCATCAGATTTTTTGCTTTTCAAACTTTGTTTTGATCAAACGCTACAAAATCAGTTTGTTGTGCACCATTCAAATGGTTTCTTAATCCATCTTCAAATTCACTGTTTCTGAAAATTGGGAAGTAAACGAAAACAAAAAAGGAGTTTTAGGAGACCATATGAAGCAAGAACTTAAAACTGTTAGCGTTTTCCTCTAAAAAAATTTACAGAATTTAAACAATTTGTATTCAATCGGCGGTGAGGAAGATAAGGGTACCTGGGGTTGTTCAAGAGGCCAACTTTGTTCACGAAGAAGGGGGCAGATCTCCTACATTGTAGCTGTGATCGCCTGCTGAGGCTGTTGCTTAAGGAGCTGAGAATGTAAGGATCGTCAGGAGGACCACCAGGAGACTCATTTGCAACGAAATTGCAGATATAGAAAAGTTAAGATAAAAGGAAAGCAAAGTACCTTTCATCCAAATTGGAGGAGCACCGGTGGCATTAGCAAGTTAGCAACGGGAATTGACATGGATAGCAATATCTTCACGGTTTCTGCACAAGCACAAAGCAATTGAAACCAGCCAAACCCGAACGAAAAGACAGGTAACAAATGTATTCCACATGTAGAGATACGTACCTCTCCCTCGCGACACAATCACAATACGCAATTGAAGGCCGCCGCATGTGGCGTAGTGACCGATCGATTGCTTCAAAACAGAGCTTCGTATCCATGTGTTTATCAGCAGTGTACCCAAAACCCCTGAAAATTGTTTCTTTTTTCAGGTAATATAATCTCCCAATTTTGAAATTTAATTCCCAATCAAAAATTGGGTTTGAAATTTGATTACCTGGAAATTGGGGGGTTGGGGTGGAGCTCTGTGATATAGCGTGTAGTCGACGTGGATGCCGATTATCTTTGTGAGCGTTGTACACGCGTCAAACTTTCACAACGGCTCTGTAACGGATGCCCCCACTATCCATCACTTTCTTCTGCACTATCCCACAACTACAAGCGTTCTAAATCCCTTTTTACTGCATTATCCCACAAGCGTCCCAAATCCTCAAGGTTGACAGGTAATTGAGAAAGGTTTGGGCACCCACAGAGATTGAGAGCGTCAAGGTGTGCCAAATTACAGAGAGTGTCAGGAAGATGTACAAGGCTTTTGCAGTTTCTCAGATTTAAATATTCAAGACTCTGAAGCCGTTCAATTGAGGGGGAAAGCTCTTTGATAGATGTTCCATCCAAGTGAAGCTCCCTTAATCCTTCCATATTTTCTACAATGCTTGGAAACACCTCAAATTTTGTGCAACCAGAAAGATAGAGATGATATAGGGATTTAAGTTGACAAATGCTGCTTGGAAGATTTATAAGTTCCTTGCAATCTTGCAGCCCCAAATAAAATAACCCCGTGAGATTATTAATTGACGAGGGCAGTTCTTTAATTTTTGATCCGGACAAATCAAGCTCTTCTAACCGCTCAATCACTTCTTGAATCTCTGGAAACATCTCAAGATTCGAGCAGCCGGAAAGATCAAGGGTTTTGAGAGATGTGAGATTATTAATTGACGAGGGCAGTTCTTTAATTTTTGATCCGAATAAATCAAGCTTTTCTAACCCCTCAATCACTTCTGGAATCTCAGGAAACATCTCAAGACTCGAGCAGCCAAAAAGATCAAGGACTTGGAGACATTTCATACGAATGATGCTTGGAAGATTTATAAGTTCCTTGCAATCTTCTAGGATCAAATAACTCAACCCCGTGAGATTATTAATTGACGAGGGCAGTTCTTTAATTTTTGATCCGGATAAATCAAGCTCTTCTAACCCCTCAATCACTTCTGGAATCTCTGGAAACATCTCAAGACTCGAGCAGTCACAAAGATCAAGGGTTGTGAGAGATTTCATACGAATGCTGCTTGGAAGACTCTTAAGTTCCTTGCACCCACTCAGATTCAATAAAACAAGGTTTGCATGAGTCGAAATAGACGGGTGAACCTCAACTAATCTTATACAACTTCGAAGAATTAGGTTCTTAAGATTTGGCATCTTTGTGAAGTCAGGGGTTTCCTTAAGGTATTGACAGGAACTTAAATTGATGAATTTTAACTTTTCCAGCGTCTGTCAAAACATACAAGAAAACATACTTAATGAGACATCTTAGAACCTAAACATTTAAAAGAAACATATACATGTAAATGATTGTACATACCTGGGTTCCTTCCCAAAGTCGGTCAATGAGACTATATTGCATATCAAGGTCAACAAGATTTTTGAATTGACGGTTGGACGGCAAAGACTTAAGGGGGAATCTATTCCATAAGAGACACCTCAACTCATGAGATAGAAACCTTAAGTTCCCAATTAGGTGTTTGTTGCCGTAAGCAACAATTTTGAGAAGTCTTAGTTGAGTCATACTAACAAAAGCTTCAGCATTTACGCATGCCTCATCTGAGTTCGACAAATCCAGGATTATGCTTTCAACTGCTTTTGTAGTCTATGCAAATCAAAAGGAAGTAAAAAACAAAGGACCTTAGTTTAGATTATGAAGTTAATGCTTGTTTCTTAAGGAGCTGTTTGATAATCATTTCATTTTCAGTTTTCAACTTTTTGTTTTGCTTATGTTTTTTTTTTTGAAATCTGAAAATTGAAAACACATAACTTGTTTGGTAATTTTTCAATTTTCAATTATTAAAAAAAAAATTATACCTAAAAATAAAGAAGTGGAAACAAAAATGGTTATCAAACGACAAATCCAACTTTCAACTTTCAATTTTCAATTTTCAACTTTCAATTTTCAATAATTAAAAACTGATCAAACGGGCCTAAGAAATAGATTTTGATCAAAAGTTGAAGCTTTCTACTAAAAATTGCATAAGAAAAATATTTCTCACCGTATTTTGAGTTAGCACACGATAAACATCTTCATAACTCCACAACCTACTTCGTCTTCCAGGCTCTTCGATAGATTCTTGGCGAACTATTTCCCGACCCATTTCCTCTAGTAAATCATGCATCCCCAGTTTCCCATACACTGAGACAGTTATGAGAGCTCGATCGATTAGAACTCCAATACCAGCATGAGGATGGAAACCACAACCGTCCAGGATTTCGGTTGCATAGTCTTTTTTCATTCCTTTAAAAAAACATGCAATATCTAGAAAGATGTTCTTCTCTGTACGATCTAGTTCATCGAAGCTTGTTCTAAGCACATCATTAATCCTTCTTTGCGGGACTTCCTTTAATTTTTCTAAGACACCTTTCCACTCAAGTATAGTTTTGTTATAAAGAGAAGCTCCCAAGACTTTGAGTGCTAGAGGTAGACCTTGAGCATAGTTTACGGCACGCCTCGTGAGAACATCGTAATCTCTAGTGGGTTGGTTTGTTCTGAAGGCGTAACGCCTAAACAGTTCTACAGCTCCGGGATCACTGAAAATCTTGGGCTTATATATCGCATCAGTTCCGCTTAGTAATTGCAAATCTCTAGTTGTTATAATAATTCTACTTCCACCACCAAAGGAAGAATGTTGCTCTCCAAGTAAAGCTTCTATTTGTTCTAATTTGTCCACATCATCAATAACAATAAGGATCTTTCTCTGAGCTAGACTATTTAACATCACCTGGAAACCTTTATCCAAAATGTGGGAACTCCCCACCTTGTTGTTCGAGAGACTCGATAGAAGTTGTGTCTGCATATGTAGTTTGCCATGCTTAATGAAACCCTCCTTGACGTTTTCAAGAAAGCAAGAAGCTTCAAATTGACAAGCGATTTCATCATAAACAGCTCTAGCGATGGTTGTTTTGCCTAAACCACCCATACCCCATATTCCAATAACCCGAACATCATTTGTTTCAACTCCAGGAGGATGTAATAATAAATGCATTTCATGCATATGAGAATCCATTTCAATCAAAGGATTATCTTTGCTTGAACTTGATGAGATGTGGATCAATTTCTTATAAACATCTTCTACAATTTTCTCAATAAGCTTTATGTCATTCCTGTCAAATTTTGAAAACCATATAATACCAACACAAAATACAATTAATAGGTCGTTTTGATAATTATTTCATTTTTTTTTCTGAAAATTCGTATTTAGAATTTCAAATTTTGGGCTTTTAGTTTTCAGTTTTTAATTTCATTTAAAGTAGTTATCAAATAAGTTATTCAAAGTTTTTTTCAACCGGTAGCATAAGACTCGTATGAGTATTTCATACTATGTCCAGGTCACAAGTTAAAAAAATTAAAATTAAAAACTTAAAACAAAATATTTATCAAATGACTCCTACACATTACAAATATCCCAAAAATTAATAGGAAACTAAAACAAATTAGAACTTACTCATAGTTTCGTGAATCCCAGCCGGAAAAACTGGTGGCCGTTGTAAGAGCGGATCTCCAGCTCCGAACCTCTTCAATTTCGGCGCTAGAATCATTATCATGCTTTGCAAAAGCTTCCTCGAAACTTCTCTTGAGTTTACGAATATCGGATGGATCGACTTCGTAGAAAATGGGGAGCACAATATGGTTCTTGGTATGGTGGCATTCCAAGATTTCCACGAGTTCTTTCAAGCACCACGTGGAATAAGCATAGTTTTTAGAGAAAACTACAAGCGAAAGCCTTGATTCTCGAATCGCTGTCAGGAGCTCGGAAAGACGGTCCCCTTTTCCGAGGTCTTCGGCATCAATGAAGGTGTTGATTGGTTTCTGACGCAGCGCTTTGTAGAGATGGCTGACGAAGCCCCTGCGAGTGTCTTCCCCTCTGAAATTGATGAACACATCGTATTTCCAACGATGGTCAGAAGAAGAAGAAGAAGCAGCCATTAATCGATCGCACCTGATCAGCGATGATCGAGCAGCTAAGATTAAGAGGAATGTAAGAGCAGAAATACTCAATTGATCTACAAACTGGATCACCGGAAAATGGCCTGATCGATACCAAGCCAATAAGTCAATGCAAAAGGGTAAAGGGAAAAAGGAAATTATGCTTGATGTCTTTTCACATCTTCTTCAAGGAAATTTCTGTGCGAAAGGGATGTGCATAATTTTGATTTTTTGACCCAAGAAAATGCCAAGGAAGGGGTCACAGTAGTATGTTGAATCTAGACTTCCTACCTAACAGTTTTTTTTGTAAAGAAATATATACCAATCTCCATATTCACATGAAGAGTGAGTTAGGGGGATCGAAAGTATTTCCGGTAAAATGTAAACATCTCATATGTGTGTTATACTTCCAACGGAATTGTGGGTGAAAAGTAGGAGATTAATGATTTTTTGACTTCTAATCTGATGTCAAGGTAAAATGTAAACATCTCATTTTCTTCAGTTGTTACGATATTACATTGTACCATTTTCATCAGTGGTTGGCCACATACCCTTCACTGATCAACTCTCTCCTAAGCCTATACAGTTAGTATTTAGATTCATTCTAAAAAGGCAACCATCCGATGATTGGTAGTAGTTCTACAGTTCTACTTTCAGCGCATGCAAAATCATAGAATACGAATACAGGGTTTCAATTACATGTAGAGAATACAATTTTATAATGGCATATATGCTCGCACGATTATATTAGCGTTAATAAGAAAATTGTTATCAGCACTCTAAAGTAAACGTACAGCACAAATAACATTAGAAGAAAAGAAAAACAAAACTGAACAAAATTGAACGATAAAATAATGTTCTTACACTCCAAAAAAGTGTTCTTGCACTATTAAGAGCATAAAAAAATACAGAAAAGGAAAACCGAACAAAATTGAACGATCAAATAGAGAATGGGGTTGACAGAATATGCTATACGCAGAAAAAATGATGTCGTTGTAACGCGCCAATGGAGGCCCTCAATCTACCGAATATTTTCTTCATTGCCAAAATATACTCCTGCCCCTCCACTCAGATCAACTGGCTTTTAGTACCTCCACCAGTTGAAACCATTGTGAATGCAACCTTTTGATATTATTTGTTGCTCACAACAGCTTACTTGAAAGGAGCCGGTTTATATTGCGCTTCACCATCTGTTGCCGCGACCTCTCCCACCACCACCACCACCACCACCGGATCGGTTGTTGGAATACCTATCATTTCGAAAACCTCCACCACCACCACGGCCAAACCTTCCACCACCGCCAAATCTTGTATTCCTTGATTCTTTTTCTTGTAAATCAGGCAGTGATTTCAACACCGTTATGCTCACATTAGCTGCATTTTCCTGACCTGCACCCAACATGATACGACCAAAATAATCAGACTTCAAGACATCAATACAACAAAATGAATGATACATTCCATGTCTAAAAGGAAAGAACTGAAAAACATCAGTTGCTGGTAGAATCTTAATAAACTATCGTGCTTGATGAGAACGTAATACATGATCCTATAGAGATATGAAAAGAAGAATACCAGCAAGAAACAAATCCAAATCTTCAGCTGCCACATCAAAAACTGCACCATTTCCATCGGCAGTTAGTGCCATACCCTTCACTGACTCAACCTTCTCCTCGGGCAAGAATCTCCTCAAGACCCCAAAAGCAAAACTGAGACAAGGTTGGTGGAAACTAAGGGTCAAACATTATCAACAAATCAAACCGCTAACTCTAAAACAAGAACACAAACTAAATCAATAAAAGATATAATTACGGATATCTATATTTAAACAGCTCATAGTTTCTTGGAATGACAAAGAACATAAGACATAATGGTAGGACACAAGAAAACGAGTGATAACTGCTTACGACGGTGAATAAACGGGCTTTCCAGCCTCAAGAAGTACTGTCACATGGTTCTCCATAGAGCTAAGAAGTGATCTCTTCTTTATCTCGGTGTAGCCCTGCACACCATACAATAAGCAACTTATAAACTAATAAACAAACATTTACATTAATTAACTTAAAAGGCACATCAAGTAGGGAAGAAATAGCAAATCTTACAGCAGCTTTAGCAAGTGCTTTTGCCAGTAGATCTACTGCAGATAGGCCAGAGGTGTTAAGTAGCTCCTCGGCAACAGACTTGAAAGCAGGAATTACACTACAATAAAAATTGTATTAATATATGAACATGATTGCATCAAAATGTAACAAGCATTGCACTGTCAAGTATACCTATCAGAAATTTTGGTTATCATTTCTGCTGCATCTTGACCTACTGCTTTAGCTATATCAAGTGGCTGAGGAGCAGAAATGTGTTCAAATTTCACCCCGGACTCCCTCTCGATTTTTGAAAAATTTGATCTTCTTGGATCATAAAGCATGACAGCAACTCCGGAATTGCCTGAAAATATGGACACACCTCTAAGTACCATATAACATCAAAGACATTGTTTAATACAATACGAATAAACAAGAAATGCAACATTTTTCAAGATTTACCTGCTCTCCCTGTGCGTCCAGATCGATGGATATAGTCTTCTACATCACGTGGGGGTTCACACTGAACCATAAACAATAAAAGTTATACAGATTGACAAATATTACAAAGTTTACCATTATGCACACTGACAAACCTGGATAATTAATTGAACATCATTGATATCCAGTCCACGCGCTGCCACATTTGTGGCAACTAATGTCAAAAACTTGCCAGATCTGAAACCAGCAAGTGTGACCTGAAAACACAAAACAGGAAGGGAAACAAAATATTCTGCCATTAGTAAAAAAAAAAAAAAAAAACTAGCTTTTAAAAAAAATATCACTACTGAAAGGAAAAAGAGCCTGAAATATCATATTTCAGTACAGTTGTACACGGGGAGTGGAGGAGGATTTTTTTTTTTGGGAGTTTTAATTTTTTTTTTTTTTTGGGGGGGGGGGTGGTTTGTGTGGGGGGATTGCATAGTCGAACAACTAACCTCACGTTGGCCCTGCTGTATGTCCCCGTGCAAAGCTCGGGCTCCAGGCAATGCCTCAGCAAGTCCAGAAGCAGCTTCCTTTGTCTCGGTAAAAATGATTGTGCGTCCTCCACTGATGAGTCGGAAACAAACATGTCAAGTACATGAAAATGATTCCCAGACAAATTTTACCCAAAAGTAAAAATAGGAAGCATATTGTAGTTGTGGACTAGAAAACAACCAACCTACTATAACAACGTATGATATCAGGAATAAGTTGTGATCTTGCTGAACTGGAGCAAGGAAGAACAATATGCCTAACATTGGTGCTGGCCTTCATTTTTTCATTACCAACAAGATCTACAGTTTTCTTATCAGGTTTGAGAAACCTAGAAGAAATCTGGGAAAAAGAAAAAGAAAATTTCATTCATGTGTCGACAATGAATGGAAAGGTATAACATTGCAATATAATCCATTTATGTTTAACTGAATTCAGAAGAACATCCAAATTCAAGATCTCAGCAAAGATACTTACGCCTTTCACCCAACTTGGCAAGGTTGCACTAAAAAGTAGCGTTTGAACTTTACTTACATCCTTCACCTTGCCTGAAAAACCAAAGAATAGAAGTTAACAAGAAGTTGTGCAGTACACACAGCATAACACTTCAGAAATGTAACCAGCAACAGACACAGAAATTTTGCACAATTAAAGTAACATTGCAAAAAATTTTAAACTACAGTTACCCGTCAACCAAAGATGCCTTGACAGCGTAATATAAGAATAACATTGATTTGACAGGAGTCAAATAGCAAGAGAATTTTTTGAAAACACAAAGATAAAAATGATTCCAAGCGTCAAATGGACATTATCAACAAAGCTTCAGATGGACATTAGTAACCAACACATGGATACAAAACACCATATAGAAGATATGCAGAAATAGGCAAACATGGTACAGAAAACAGATGTTGGGATTACCAAAAAAACATACCTAGAATGAGTTCAACATCGTCAACAAAGCCCATCCTCAGCATTTCATCAGCTTCGTCAAGGATCCTAACTTTCAAGGTACTCAAGTCGATATTGCCCCTCTCTATATGATCCTACATATTTCCAAAAAATTATTTTAGCATCATAAGTATATTGCATAATACCAATTTGACACAAGAACTCAGCTATAATGAGAAATGGTCAATACCTTTATACGGCCAGGCGTTCCAATAACAATATCCACCCCTCTCCTTAACTTACTTTCTTGAGCCCCGTAAGGAGATCCACCATATACACAACATGCTGCTAGCCCCACAGCACCACCATAAGCTTCAAAATCGGCGAAAACCTAAGTGAACAAAAATTGTCAAGTGGATACTCTAAAAGCCAAACCATTGCAAGCATAAGGTCCAGGGAAAATAAACTTACCTGTTTGGCAAGTTCCCGAGTGGGTAAAAGCACGATAACAGTTGGAGGCCTACCATAACCAGTCTTTCTAAATGCTTTTGCAGGCCCATTTGTTAAGGACTCCAAAACGGGTAACACAAAAGCTAGAGTTTTACCCTGCAATATTGCAAAACAACGAGCATGCAATTCAGAAACTGAACAAAAATCACATCAATAAGCTAAATATTCCAATCCAATTCAACAAACCACAAAAAAAAGAGTAGAAATTTGTGATTTTTGGTACAAATTCGGGATTTCTGATAAAAATTCGGGATTTCTGAGTAAACATTTGTGCTTCTTGAGTAAATTAAATTTACCTGTCCAGTTCGAGCCCGACCGACCAAATCCAATCCATCCAAAATGGTATCGAATGTCATGGCCTGAATAGGGAACAAGGATTCGATCCCATTCTCCTTCAATTTGGCCCTCAACGGCGCCGAAATCCGAAACTTTGACACCGCATTAGGATCCTCTTTGGGCTTCTCCTCCTCCTCCTCCGGCTCCACCTTCGCCTTCTTCGACTTCTTCTTGCTCTTCTCTTCGCTCTTCGGCGGCTTCACATTCACGGGCTCGCCCATCTCGGAGCTCGTCTCGCTCCTGTCCTCGTCATCCGAAGCCTTCCGCTTTTTGTGCTTAGACTCCTTCTTCGACTTCTTCTCAGTAGTGGGCGAGTCGGCGGCGTCGTCTAGGGTTTCGCTTTTCAATTTCTTCTTCTTCTCCTTCTTGTCCTTCGGAGTGGTTCCCGCGAGTAGATAATCGGACACGTCCATCGAAGGCATGGTTTTCTAGAGAGAGAACGTGTACGTTTGTGAATTTAGAGAGAGAAAGAGACGGAGAGCGCGGCGGAGAGAGAGGGGTTTCTGGTTTTCTCCTGCTACAAAAAGGTATGGCAGTGATTTGCGTTTAGCAGGAGAAAGAGAGGAGAAACAGAATTAGGGTTTTGCGCATTTTATGGTTTTAGCAGTGGAGGGTTCTTGAGCGGTTGGATCGTGGACCGAGACGAATTTTGGTTTTGAGCCGTCGGATTTCGGTCCGTTTGAAAATATCTAACGTACCTTGCCAACGACTCCACGCACGCAAATAAAACGCAGCACCCGAGTAAGACGTCGATTGCTGCCGGCCCAAGGCCCAAAAGATAACCAAATGCTAAACCCTACTAGGAAAAATGGTTTGACTGACAATTTGGATTTTGGTTCGATTTTTCTAAATTTAAATTACATATCAATAAAATTTTCTTTGTCAACAAAAAAAACGATGAAAACATTATCTACATGTGATTTTAACATTTCTAATTTTAATTTTTTTTATAAAATAAATAAAAAATAAACCTCCCTCTCTCCTCCCTTCTCTCTTACTCTCTATCTCTCTCCAATTTTAAAAACAAAAATAAATTTCCAAACAAATAATACCAAAATCTTTGGGATCCATACCAAGCCGATCCCGATATTTTCGGTATGAGAATCAGAACTATATATTCAATGGTTCGAAAATCCCGAACCGAACCAAAAAATATATATGTATTTATTTTGGTTGCATGTATGTTGAATGTTAAATTTAAGTAGTTTAATAATATACTATTTATATTAGAAATAGAAGTATGAAATTAAGTAATTTAGAACTTTGGAACATCAATTTGACTTAGTATGAATGAATTGACATTTCAATTGGTATGAAATTTCAAATTGGTACGAGGTAAAAAACTTAAATTTCAATTCATATGAAATTGGGGAACAAAATTTTAGGCTAAAAGCCCAAATTTTAGCCCATAACAAAAAAATCTCAAATTTCAGCCCAAATTCGAAAATCCAGTCCCGATCTATCCCGAAATACGAAAAACATTTCGGGAATTCCAAAAATTGGGAATACGTTGGTCTCCAAATTCCCGTCCCAAAAATTTTCAGTTTGAGATTCAAGATCTCATTTTCGGTTTAGGACAACCCTTATCCAATTCAATCCACCAAGAGACAGTCCCACGTGAATTGACTCTCCCTCAACGTATCAAAAATACACCGAGGATAATCATCGACACTGATTAAAATTTGACTTCGTCACCGAGTAATCTGCTAACAAGGGGATTCATATATCGCCCAATCCACAAGTACAAAGTGTTTATACTTATTTTTCTTCTAAAATAGTGACATACGAATAAAACTAAGCAAAATGTAAGAGGCTATGATCATAGGGGCAAATGCAAAGATTTACAATATAAGAAAAACAAGAAGCCCAGCTATGGCAAACACAGGCCACCTCTGAACAGATTTCTGGGCGGAAGAGGGGGGGGGCGTTGCACCAGTTAAACCCGTACCAAAGATCATTGGGAATGAAGGTGTTGTAGGTAAATGTAACTGCCCTGGAATTGTGACCGGAGATTTTCACATTCTCAGGCTTCCAACCATCCGGTCCGGTTCTGTAGAGGTACAAGTAGCAGATTTGGTATGCACAGGGGCCGTATATATCGAATGTGTCTGTAGAACACCGTTCAAATGTTCTCGAAGATGGATCGTCCAGTCGGGCCGCATAAATCTGACCAAGAAAAATGATCCTTATAAGTTGTATGTGCAACCATCTAACATGATAACTCATATTCATTCGCACTAAGTTGATTATAAACAGTTTAGATAAACAAGCAACCTATTATAAAATTCGATTACATTGGTTTTGCATTCAACATACCAAACTCACAACGTCGAAAAAGTGCAATTTGCAATATGCTTTTAGCAATAAAATGTTCTCTACGTTGTCATAACTCCTCATTTTGATCCTTAAGATTTAAAAATGAAAGAAGTGGTCTTTTGAGATTATCCGTCGTCATCATTTTGGTCATTATGTGAAAAATATTCATTAAATTGAACAGACTACCAGTTTGAGATGAGGAATTGATTTGACGAAAATAGATTTATGTCGTACCAAATACAAATTTGATTTCAATTTCAATTCTTCTTCTTAATTCTTTGAAAACCCATGTTCGAAGATTAATTTCTATACACAATCATATCACATGATTAAGATCTTAACGCTGTTTTATGATAAATTAACATGAAAAACTGAGTAGGTAGAAGAACAAACCTGATTGCCATAAGCATCCCCAAAGGAGATACTGATCTGATCCCTCGTGTACCTCGTCGAGGAGCAGCTCGTAGTTATAATCGCCGTATAAGAACAAGTCCCCGCGTTCTTTAAAACCATAAACATCAAAATTATCAACAAAATTTTGTAAAAATAAATTAAATAAAAAGAAATAAGCTTTGCAAATCGCTGTTACCGGGATGTTGCTGACGTTGAAGTCCTTGGCGGCGGCTTCCGGCTGTATGATGCTTAGCTTGGCTTCTGAGAGCGTAAAGAGAAAGCAAACTTGGAGAAGAAGAAAGGGTGCTCCGAACATGTTTGATGATTTGGCGCAGAGAGAATGCGACGACGACTTGCGGTATGCGGAGGAGTCAAAGAAAAGCATGCGTCAGGGGATGGAAGATGATATCTTGTGGAGACCGAATGTTAGTAAATCATTTATGTCCGTCATATTCTTTTATGATTTAGGTCACCTTAAGAGTTAAGACTTCTCTATGACTACATGGATGATACGTACAATCTGAACTTTCTTTTTTGTTTAATGAAAATGTAATATTAGAGAGATGAAATTTTAAAACCGAATTGTGTAAATCAAATGATGTGGTTATTGATTATTGGATTATTAATCAAGTGTTGATGCAAGGCCAAATCCATCTTTCAAAAATATTTGGCATGTTTATGACATTTTAATTAAAATGATGTATAACCCTTCACTTCGTTCAGTGAGACTTGAAATTGATAGAAGTAGCCCTTATCCACTATCAATCATTTCGATTTTTTTCGTAAAAAATCACAGTCAAGTGAGAACCAAAATTAAAATAATACCCTTAATTTACTAAACAAAATGCGAAAATGATTTGAAAAAATATGATGGTGTTTTTGTCATTTTGATCTTATTCAACAAGATTTTTTACGGAATTACCAAAATATTTGACGGTGGACAAGTTGAGAACCATTTCTATTGATCTTAAATATCAAGAACCAAAATGAGAAATTATATCAATTTCAAATACTATTCTAGCTAAAAAAAACCCATATTTTTTTTAGTTCTTTTAAATAGGGAAAAAAAATTCTTTTTGTAGTAAAAACAAATTATACCGATAAATATTTGGAGATAATTGTAAAGTGTGCCGGGTGGAATACAAAAATTGGATGCAAACAATTAGTACTAGACATAAACACTCTTAATCATTCACATTTCACCTTCCTACTGAACCCAAATTTCTAAGTTATTTTGTTGCATTGATGAAAATTGAGATTTGACAATGTGTGACTTCTTCGATATACCAACATACGAGTATTAAAATCATTTTAATTCATGGGATGACCTAAGAGATCTGTATAGATGTGAGCATCTTTAAACAACAAAGTTGCAAATTAAAAACTCAAAGCATTTATTAAACAAAATACTTATATATTAATTCATAAAATTTTTCATACAACATATTATATAATTCCTCAACACGCTTTCGTATTGCATAACAACTTCATTACTAATACCATCAAATATCTCTTCGTCTAAAAAATAAAAAACATGTTATTATTCATTCATTGATTTCCCATCTTATTTCTCAATTGGTTCTTTTCATAGCTGAAAATGCTCTTTCAACCTCGACAATAACAACTAAAAAAGTTAGTGCTAATATCATAAGTAGTAATATACTGTACTAAAATCACAAGTTTGCACATTTTTTTCAACAAAAAAGTAAGTGGAAACATCTGCTCCATGGGCTCAAGATGGCTTTTGTCCTTGTTCACGATGTCTTGCACTTATTTATCTTTACAGCTACGAAAGTAAAAATCAACATCAACAAATCAAAGTACACACGTGAGCATTACAAAACCACATGCAAATGACACATTATTTCAAAGTCATTCGTAAATATTACACGAATACGATATGAACATGAACACGAATGTAAAGTAACCGGAAAAATATGAATCTATTTTTCTACACCTTGTCATTTAAAAAAAAAAAAACAATCGATTTTCCAGAAGAAAACAAAAATAAATATTAAAAAACGCAAAGTATATATTTTGAGGCGTGCGATCCCGCCCTCTACGACTGAAAAAATCCCAATCAACAACCACACTGACTTTAAACCAAGTCGTTTTTCTTCCTCTTTTGCAATCTCAGACAAAGCTTTCGTCTTCCATTTATCTCACGCTTCCAATTCAGTTCAATTCAATTCCTCTCAACCCCTATCCCTCTCTCCCTCTGAAAATTTCCAAATTCCCGTTCCAGAAATCTAGAGAGAGAGAGAGAGAGAGAGAGAGAGAGAGATTGGATTGGTGTAGCTTTTCTTCCACATTTGATGGCGAAGAGAAGACGATGCGTGTTTGGATTCTGCTATTCTCTTTTGACGATTTTGGTTTACGCTAGGGTTTCGTTTTCCGCGAGATCTGATAAGGAAGTCAGGGAGAGGTTCTACGGCAACATGATGAACTCCTCCGCGCCGGTTTCCGGCGACGGCACCATTGCCAAAATGTTCGATCGCGTCCTCGAGAAGGAGTTCTCCGAGAACGATCAGCCCGAAGGTTTAGCTCCTTTGCCATTTTTGTTAACTTGCATTTTGCATTTTGTAGTTAATTTCTCGTTTATTGTCTTAATTGTAGTTAGTTAACATTTTTTCACCTTCAACTTTGTGTAGGATCTGATGGGGCCAGCTTTAACAGCAGTGTGGCCGATCAACAAGTAGGTTTTTGTTACTCGTATGATTTTTCATGTACCGAAATGCGATACTTTTCGGTTATTTTTAGGCCGAAACAATTCTGTAGTGAAGCATTTATCTGCTCTAGCTTTAAATGCAAAATTAATCTTTGATTGTATTTAATGTCTCATTTCTAAAACCCTTCGTTTATTTATACCGAAACAATTCTATGTTGTGATTATGTTTTGCAGGCTGTACTAGAGACTGTGGCGAAAATCACTCACGAGAAGGGCAAGAAAAATGATACACAAGTGGGAAAGTATGTGAATGTTAGGATAGTCTTTTGATCCTAATATGGTTGTGCTGTGACAAGATATTAAATTCGTAGCGGAATAAGATGTGATCTTGCGATATGGTAATAATGGATGCCCCTTTTTTTGGTTGTCAGCGGCACGAAGCCTTATGATTTTGAAGGTGTTTTTTCATTGGAGAATGAAGATTCTGAAGAAACAACAACCTTGATTGACAAAAAGGTACTTTGAAAAGCTATTAGTAATGAATATTTGAAGTTTACAACTCTGGCAGGGATTCCCGCTCGTAATTATAATTGATTTTAGCTATAATTTAACCCTATTAACTTTTTTCATTTGTTTATGATAGGATAATGTGTTTGTGATGTCAAACAAGAAATCTAAATATCCAGTACTTCAAGTAGATTTAAGGTATCTTTACATATCCCTTTCCTGACTGTTACATGAATAAATTCGGGGCCCATTTGGTTCTTGACTCAAACACGAGTGTCTCAAATGTTTGTGGAAGTCAAAACTTTTTAAGTCTTTGGTGGTTTTTAATTGATTATGGATCTCGAATTCCTATAACACAGTATGGTTTCTCTCAAAGAGCCGTAAGGCTTTTCTTCGTTTGAAAGCTAAAGATACTCCACACATATGCCCTATGAACAGCTAATTGCAGTTTCCAAGTTTATATTTGTCTTCTTGATGCATATATTACTGATGGGTAACACTTGATATTTTGGCAGATTAATTTCTGATCTGGTGGTTATCATAGTATCTGCTGCCATTGGTGGAATTCTGTTTTCTTGTTTGGGACAACCGGTTTGACTTTAAATCCTAGCCACTCTTTTCATATTTTATTCTTCATCTCTAGCTTAATGTTCCTGTATAGTTCTTAGTTCATGACCTATATGATCCAACTTTATAAAATTTTCAGCATAGTGATTTAAATGATGTGACTCAGATTTTCTGTTCTAATTTATATGCATATGATAGGTTATTGTCGGATACCTGCTTGCTGGTTCTCTCATTGGACCTGGAGGTCTTACAATCATCACTGAAATGGTGCAGGTACGTAGTTGATTATGATCAGTTAAAAGTTTTATGTTTTCTTTAGAGTTTGGTTTCAGTATAGTTTTTCCTCATCTACTTTGTTCAAACTTTCATTCATTCTCATCTCCATTTAAATTGGCCTCTTTGAACTATTACTTATCAGCAGTATCTGTTATTCAGCAACACTATATTAATGCCCTCTTGCGTCTGTTTTGGAGACTGGATAACTTTATTCTTAAAAGAAAACCCTACTGTCCTGTAAATGCTTTCAATATGCATTGGAGTATCAGTAGAAGGATTCAAACTTCAAATTTGGTAAAACTTAGGATGTCAAAAGTGTCAAAAGATTGCTCCTTATCTAGATTTCTTCAAAATTTAATGCCATTTATCCATATCAGATTGTCAATTCCTCCTAATAAAAAAATAATAGTAGAAAACTAGCATTAGTCACTTGTTTTCCTGGAAATCCATGTTTAACTATTTGGTGTTGGTCAACCATTTACATCCGAGCTTTGGTATCAGTTTTCTTCTATATGTAATCTTGTTAAATTCCTTTTTCTTTCATTACAGGTTGAAACTGTTGCACAGTTTGGTGTTGTATTTCTTCTTTTTGCTCTAGGTTTGGAGTTTTCTTTGGCTAAGGTATGTTAGACTTGGGAAGTTTAAGTTTACAGTCTGTTATGCTGTAAAATTATGAAGATTTCCGTTTGATGTCCTGAGGGAGGGAGAGGATGAAACTTGCCTTTGTTTACGGAAGCCATTTAATTTGTCGGTGGTGCAGTTAAAAGCTGTGGGCCCTGTAGCTGTTCTTGGAGGCCTTCTTCAAATAATGACATTTATGCTCTTGTGTGCCATAACTGCTGTGGTATGGTGTTTAATCTTGCTAACTGTATTTTCTTACAAGTAACTCGTTAACATGTCAAAATGAACACCAAGCTTGCCCTTTTCTTATTTTTCAGTTATGTGGAGCAAAGTTGTCTGAGGGAATTTTTGTCGGTTCCTTCCTTTCAATGTCCTCAACAGCGGTGGTAGGTTTTCTAACCTTTAGTAATATGATGCCACTTTACTTCCTTGGTTGCTTGTTTCTGAATCTCAACTGCACTTCATTCATCTCTCATTTCCTTTTACCAGGTGGTGAAATTTCTTGCAGAAAGGAATAGTAATAGTGCTCTTCACGGTCAAGTAACAATTGGAACGCTCATTTTCCAGGTAGGTTTTGAAGTCTGAAAACTTAGATGGTATGTTTATTGATAACTGATGGACCTTTTACGTTATAACCCTGGTTTCTAAATCTCTGATGCATATCCATACATCCCATCATGTGGCTTATTTCAGGACTGTGCTGTTGGTTTATTGTTTGCTTTGCTCCCAGTTTTGGGTGGTCATAGCGGCCTTTTCCAAGGAATGGTATCAGTAGGGAAGCTGTAAGTCTGCTTCTGCAGCTTGTATGGCATATTTCTTTTTTCCTTTTATTCTTTCTGTTCTGAAAATTTCTTTTGCTTTGCTGCCATAATAAAAATGAGGGTCGTTTTATTTTATTTTTATTTTTTTTAAGTGGTTATTTTGTAGTCCAACATCCTAGTTTGTCGCTACTTCAGGTTGCTGGTGCTGTCACTATATCTTGGTGCTGTGTCGGTATTCTGTTGGTCATTTGTTCCTCGCTTTCTGAAACTGATGATGCAGTTGTCCTCTCAAGTAAGTTTTGTTGGTCTAGTAGAGTAAGATAGTTAGCTTTCTGTCTTGACTTTTAATAACTTCATTGGCTCATTTATAATTCTTATGGTGGATCAGACAAATGAGCTCTATCAGCTTGCTGTTGTGGCTTTCTGCTTATTATCTGCTTGGGTAAGTGGAAATATTTATTATTTTTTTTCAAGTTTCTCATATCAAGGGTTGGTAATGGATGAGTTAACACGACATATTCAAGATGATATTCCTTGGTGTATGCTTTTCGCAGACGATATAGTGTTGATAGATGAAACTCAGGAAGGGGTAAATGCAAAGCTTAACCTTTGGAGAGAAGTGTTGGAATCTAAAGGTCTTCGCCTAAGCCGATCAAAGACAGAATATATGGAGTGCAAGTTCAGTGCAAATGGAGGCCAAAACGAGTTAGGGGTGAGGATCGGAGATCAAGAAATACCAAAGAGCGACCGTTTTCGTTACCTAGGATCTATCTTGCAAAAGAACGGAGAATTAGATGGAGATCTCAACCATAGAATACAAGCTGGATGGATGAAGTGGAAGAGTGCATCCGGCGTGTTGTGTGACCGCCGTATGCCACTGAAGCTCAAGGGAAAATTTTATAGGACGGCAATAAGGCCGGCGATGCTGTATGGCACAGAATGTTGGGCGGTGAAACATCAACACGTACACAAAATGGGTGTAGCGGAGATGAGGATGCTTCGTTGGATGTGTGGGCACACGAGAAAGGATAAGATTAGGAATGAGGATATCCGGGGTAAAGTAGGAGTAGCCGAAATTGAAGGAAAGATGAGAGAAAATCGGTTACGGTGGTTTGGACATGTGCAAAGAAGGCCTACTGACGTTCCGATTAGAAGATGCGACTATGGGACAGAGGTTCAGGGCCGAAGGGGTAGAGGAAGACCTAGGAAAACTTTGGAAGAGACTCTAAGAAAAGACTTAGAGTACTTGGATCTAACGAAGGACATGACACAGGATCGAGCACAATGGCGTTCTAAGATTCATATAGCCGATCCCACTCAGTGACTTGGATTTTCCAAGTCTCCAACCGAGAAGTTTTCCTCACTCGGGAAATTAAGGGAACACTACCCCAACCTACATGCTCCACTCAGAAAGCTTCAACATACAAGCTTTAACAAAAGAAAATTCAAAGAACTTAGCGAAGAAGGCTTTGGTGTATTTAACACAATACGTTGAAATGAAGGAAAGCTTATTTATTGATATCCCCGATAAGCTACAAATATGTACATATACATGAGTCAAAATAAGCACACAAGAGGGAGCCTTCACAAAGGTTGCTTAGGAGAAGTCTCAGCAGTCGGTAGAGCCCCAGAAAGAGAAGGCACCGGAGGGGGATCATTTGGAGCCTCAGTACTGGACAGAACCCTAGAAGGAGGAGGCATCAGAGGTTGATCATTTGGAGCTTCATTACGCGGTACAGCCCCAGAAGACGAAGGCAATAAATGCCTTTGGAACAAACCCACAAATCTCTGATGATCAAGTAAAACCTGACCATCAGTTTCCTTCATCTGGTCAAGCTTCCTCTTCATGTTTGTAGCATAGTCATGTGCGAGCCGGTGCAACTGTTTATTCTCATGCTTGAGCCCTCTAATCTCCTGTTTGAGACTCATCACTTCAGCCGCCAATGATTCAACTTGGCGGGTTCGAGCAAATAGGCGTTGGGCCATATTAGACACAGAACCTGCACACTGAACACTGAGAGCCAGCGAATCCTTAACAGCTAACTCATCAGACCGTTTGGAAAGTAGTCTGTTATCTTTGGGAGTGAGAAGGTTCCTGGCCACCACCGCAGCGGTCATATCATTCTTCATCACGGAATCCCCAACGGTAAGAGGACCAGTAGGGGAGACGAAGGATGGGCGCCATATGTTGTCTGGAGAAGGCGGGGCTGCCTCTTCAACAAGGTTCAAGTCAAAACGACGGTCGGAGGGGCCAGACATTTTCAAAGGTGTTGAAGAGAGAAGAGGTCGGACAAATCAAGATCTTAGAAGTGCAAGAATGAAGCTTCTACTGGTGGAGATTCAAGTGTGCTTTGGAACTTAATGCCAGCCCCTATAAAAATCTGCACTCGACGAAGCTTCAGAAATCGAAGAGGCGCCTGCTCAGAAATCGAAGAGGCGTTTGCTTTCTCAAAAGCTGGGCTGCTTAGAGATCACGAGGGTTGATCTCAGAAATCGAAGAGGCGTTTGCTTTCTCAAAAGTTGGGCTGCTCAAAGACCACGAAGGCCGATCTCAAAAAATCGAAGAGGCGCTCGCTTTCTCAAAAGCTGGGCTCCCCAGAGACCACGAGGGCCGATCTCAGAAATCGAAGAGGCACCTACTTTTCCAGCCTTTTCCAGCCTTGTCAGCACCTGTCACACGCACACTCAGCTTTTGCGGAAATTATGGGCATTCTGTCAAAGACTTCTGGGGAAGTAGAAAACACATGAATCTTACTGTTCAATCACCCACTTCCCACACGCAACAATAGCTCATGGGTACCACAGATAACTTTGCCAAAGTTCTCTGCCAAAGTTGAGCACGTGAAGCTTGCAGCTCCCACTACATCGCTCTGACCAAGAAGGGTAAAAGAATAGCAAAGAAACAGCACTAACAAAGTTTAGACCCATAAATTTTGAAGGTCTAGCTACCATATTATTACCCACAAGGGTAAAGGAACAGTACCACTGCTGGATAATTGGAAAGTCCCTGTGTGTCAACCTCTGTGCTTCGTGGCAAGGTAGACTAGCAAACATGCCCAACCTTTACTCACATTCGAGAAAACACTCCCAATAAGATTGCTTGCTCCAAAATCGAAGAGGCACCGTCCTCCGAATCTCGAGAGCCAGACTCCCAACATGACTACTTTCTTAAAAATCGAAGAGAGGGTAAAGGAACAGTACCATTGCTGGATAATTGGAAAGTCCCTGTGTGTCAACCTCTGTGCTTCGTGGCAAGGTAGACTAGCAAACATGCCCAACCTTTACTCACATTCGAGAAAACACTCCCAACAAGATTGCTTGCTCCAAAATCGAAGAGGCACCGCCCTCCGAATCTCGAGAGCCAGACTCCCAACATGATTACTTTCTCAAAAATCGAAGAGACACTGCTCCCCGAATCTCGAGAGCCAGACCCCCAGCATGATTGCTTTCTCAAAAATCGATGAGGCATCGTTCTCCGAATCAATCGAAGAGGCGCTCGCTTTCTCAAAAGCTGGGCTGCTCAGAGACCACGAGGGCCGATCTCAGAAATCGAAGAGGCACCTACTTTTCTAGCCTTGTCAGCACCTGTCACACGCACACTCAGCTTTGCAGAAATTATGGGCATTCTGTCGAAGACTTCTGGTGAAGTAGAAAGCACATGAATCTTACTGTTCAATCACCCACTTCCCACACGCAACAATAGCTCATGGGTACCACAAATAACTTTGCCAAAGTTCTCTGCCAAAGTTGAGCACGTGAAGCTTGCAGCTCCCACTACATCGCTCTGACCAAGAAAGGTAAAAGAATAGCAAAGAAACAGCACTAACAAAAGTTTAGACACATAAATTTTGAAGGTCTAGCTACCATATTATTACCCACAACTGGTAAAGGAACAGTACCACTGCTGGATAATTGGAAAGTCCCTGTGTGTCAACCTCTGTGCTTCGTGGCAAGGTAGACTAGCAAACATGCCCAACCTTTACTCACATTCGAGAAAACACTCCCAACAAGATTGCTTGCTCCAAAATCGAAGAGGCACCGTCCTCCGAATCTCGAGAGCCAGACTCCCAACATGACTACTTTCTCAAAATCGAAGAGAGGGTAAAGGAACAGTACCATTGCTGGATAATTGGAAAGTCCCTGTGTGTCAACCTTTGTGCTTCGTGGCAAGGTAGACTAGCAAACATGCCCAACCTTTACTCACATTCGAGACAACACTCCCAACAAGATTGCTTGCTCCAAAATCGAAGAGGCACCGCCCTCCGAATCTCGAGAGCCAGACTCCCAACATGATTACTTCCTCAAAAATCGAAGAGACACTGCTCTCCGAATCTCGAGAGTCATACCCCCAGCATGATTGCTTTCTCAAAAATCGAAGAGGCATCGTTCTCCGAATCTCGAGAGCCAGATACCACAGACCACTTTTTCAAAGTGCTCTGACAGAGTTAAAACATGTGAAACTGGCAGCTCCCACTACCGTGCTATGACCAAGCAGGGTAAAGGAATAGCATTACTACTTGTTGTTAGGGAGACTCCTATATATGTCGACCTCCATCCCCAACGGACAGGCAGACCTGCAAAAATGCTCAACCCTTCATCATATCTGAGAGGGCACTCCCAACGAAGCCTTTCGAAATATTCAGCTTTCTTTCCCCCCGATAATACCTCTGCAAACAAGCTATACTAGAGCAAGAATATCTCATATCATCAGGGTTAAAAGCAAGAGTATCCCATATCATGCTTTTTCCCTGTCTTTTCTTTTGGCCTTGTTTTTACCTGCAAGACAAGGAGAAAGAGAGCAATCAGTCAGCACTTGGAATCAAGCTTCCAGCCAGGAACTGACTGCCTGGAACCCCTTACCTGATTACTTACCTGGCATTGCTCTCGAGAGTACTCATCTTCAACATCTTATGTTTCCAGGGAAGATTCCGCATCTGCTTGAGGAACAGATAGGGCAAGTGCGAAGGATACAAGGAAGCATGTGGAGACAAGCGTAACAGCACACGTGCCGATACATTCCATTACTCTGTCAAAAGCAAAAGTATCCCATATCAGCAGGGTGGAACGTACTCTAGATTTGATGGACTTGTTTTGACCCTCAAATTCTTCAGTCGGCCTTATACTCTGGAGGAAACCAGAAAAAGCTCAGTTCAAGAATAAGCCTGTGGAAAGTTACTTCTTCAAAAGCAAAAGTATCTCATATCATCTCTTCTCATTTTTTCTTCTCTTTATCCTTCATGCTGCTGCAAGATGGGGAGAAGGTGAACAATCAGTCGGAGCTCTGATTGCTTACCTTGTCTGTCACCTCTTTCAGCAGACCCCCTAGCTCGGCGACTTGGGGGACTCCTACTACATGGTTTGTATCGCGCTTGACCAAGCCTGAAACTACAAGTAAGCTTCAAGTGAAATTGATACATTACCTTGTGCATCTCCACCAGTTAAAGATACCACCCCTGGATGGAGGAAGAGTACTTCCAGAGAAGATGCCACATCTACCTATGAGACAGATAAGGCAAGTCAAGACGACACCACACTCCGATACTTAGAAGTTTCGTGATTACGAGATCATTCTCCCACAATATTTCCTAATGTCATTTGTACTAAATCATTCACTTGTACTCACTAAATGAGAGCTTGAACCTATGTACTTGTGTAAACCCTTCACAATTAATGAGAACTCTTCTATTCCGTGGACGTAGCCAATCTGGGTGAACCACGTACATCTTGTGTTTGCTTTCCTATCTCTATCCATTTATATACTTATCCACACTAATGACCGGAGCAATCTAGCGAAGATCACAAAAAGCGATCGTTTTCGCTACCTAGGATCTATCTTGCAAGAGAACGGAGAATTAGATGGAGATCTCAACCATAGAATACGAGCTGGATGGAAAGAGTGCATCCGGCGTGTTGTGTGACCGTCGTAGGCCACTGAAGCTCAAGGGAAAATTTTATAGGACGGCAATAAGGCTAGCGATGTTGTATGGCACAGAATGTTGGGTGGTGAAGCATCAACACGTACACAAAATGGGTGTAGCGGAGATGAGGATGCTTCGTGGGATGTGTGGGCACACGAGAAAGGATAAGATTGGGAATGAGGATATCCGAGGTAAAGTAGGAGTAGCCGAAATTGTAGGAAATATGAGAGAAAATCGGCTCCGGTGATTTTGAACATGTGCAAAGAAGGCCGACTGACGCTCCGGTTCGAAGATGTGACTACGGGACAGAGGTTCAGGGCCGAAGGGGTAGAGGAAGACCTAGGACAACTTTGGAAGAGACTCTAAGAAAAGACTTAGAGTACTTGGATCTAACGGAGGACATGACACAAAACCGAGCGCAATGGCGTTCTAGGATTCATATAGCCGACCCCACTTAGTGGGAAAAGGCTTTGTTGTTGTTGTTGTTGTTGTTGTTGTCTCATATCAAGGGTTAATACTATTCAAAATGCTAATGGACTCCAAATTTAGTTTTCCTGCTCAATCTGCATGCTTTTAAGTGCTGTTCCGACTTTTTACACATTATAATTACCATAGTCGCTTATTGGTCCAATGTTGGCTGAGTATTGGCTGCTGAGTTGTTGCGCAACTTGAATTTCCAGAATTTCTGGTTACACAATAACAGTAACACGGTTCTAATGCAGGGATCTTTCTACATATTTGTAATTCTCAATGCTATTTTAATTCTAGTGAATCTCTTGTAACCTTTTCAGTGCAGTGATAAGTTGGGCCTTAGCCTTGAGTTGGGTTCATTTGTGGCTGGAGTTATGATATCAACCACTGACCTTGCACAACATACTTTAGACCAGGTACTCTTCTGGATTTCTACTAGTTACGTATTACGTAATCTGTTGCAGTCATGTTTATTTGCTTCCTTTTTGTTTTCCCCCACTTGTGCTTAAGAAGTAATGGTGTTGGATTCTTTTGGGGCTTCTTTAACTACGTGTTTGATAATCCTAGTAGCTTGGAAAAAATGCGTAGCCATCACACTATGATTCATGTGTAATGCTTGTATTTGATATTTTTGTACATTGCAGGTGGAACCAATTCGTAACCTATTTGCAGCTCTCTTCCTTTCAAGTATTGGAATGCTCATACATGTACATTTCTTGTGGAGCCACGTCGACATACTGCTAGCATCTGTAATTCTAGTTATAGTTGTAAAGACTGCTGTTGCTACTATTGTTACTAAGGCCTTTGGATATAGCTTTAGGACGTCATTTGTGGTAAGTGGATTTATAAGATTCGAATCGTATCTTATTTGTTGCAGATAAGCTAATTTGTAGTTATTTAACCTCGATTATTTTTTATAGGTTGGAGTCTCACTTGCTCAAATTGGAGAATTTGCTTTTGTCCTCTTAAGTCGGGCCTCAAATCTTAAACTTGTTGAGGTAACTTAGCTCTCTTATGGTTAGTCTAAATTTCTTCACCTGGATTCAGTTTTGAATCCCAGCTGTTAGGGTCCTGATTCCTGAATGAAGGAAATCACATCTTGCAGTCAATTGGGTTCACAAAATAGAATCTACATATTTTCCTCGATTTCATGTTGATTTTCTTATCATTGTCTTTTCAAACTATTTCTCACAGGGAAAAATGTACCTGCTTCTTCTCGGAACAACAGCGCTTAGCCTGGTAATTTTATTTTGATGTTACCTTTTGTGGAGAACGAGTCCAATAATTTTCTCTCTCGTGCACTCTCTGTCAAAAACTTACCCTAGTAAATGATGTTACAGGTTACAACTCCTCTCTTGTTTAAGTTGACTCCCGCCATAATGAACCTAGGAGTTCTTATGCACTGGTTTCCTTCCGAGGGTACTCCATATAACGAGGTCTCTCTCTTTCCTCCTCTTTGAAGCACATGCATGCGTACTTGCAAGCACGTTATACCTATGAAGTTTGAACTGTACAGTAGGCATTGCTCGCGGCTCCTCTCCTCTCTTTTAAAATGCATATCCGTGCAGCAGGATGGATTTGCATTCAGCAGTTACTTAAAACTGTAATTTGCTTCTGAAAGCTATCCGCAGTTCAAGTCTCGGCTTATTTCCTGTTTCCTCCGCTTTTACAGGAGAAAGCTTCAATGATCGACGCACAGCACAACCGCATATTGTGATCTCCTTCCCATGTCTATCTACCATCCGATCACAATTCATATCATGTTACGAATTCAGTTGTGTATGATTTGTGAATGTCCGGTGTTCAGTTCGCTGCCAATTCCATCGTTGTAGATGTTGCAGATGACACTTCAAGATGTTCGGTTCCAGCTTCGAGCATTATCGTGTACAGAGCATATCATTTTTGTAATTTTTTTGAGGATTTTGTAAATAGGAATGTTTATGTAGGGCTCCTCTTCAAGTGTGCATGCTAGTCTATTTGGGGAAAAAGTTGCTGCAAATACTAGAGATCGTTAGGAAACTGTATCGTACCAAAAATGGACTTCCAGAATTATTTTTTGAAGAAATACTACCAACTGAAACATTTTTATCTTATTAAATTAATGTTTCTTTTGTCAATTCTACTACTAAAAGCTAACATAATTCATAATCAATGTTTAAGATGTGTGAAATTATTGATATTTTGTCAAATACCCGAAAAATTAAACATCGAAGAAATTGATGATATTTTTGTCAAATATCCGAAAAATCAAGCATCGATATGGAAAAGGGATGAAATGTAAACTTCACCATATTTTAATGAGATATAAGAAAATCAATGAATATCGATGATATTTATTGATACACTACAGAAAATTTGCTGGAATCCATTGTAGATTTGAACTTTTGAAGTTTTTTTTGATAAATTTTTCTCTAATTTGACTAAACCTAAATGAGTTGATATACCTAATCCATTGTCAATTTTCATATTTTTTACTAATGTAACCTATATGAATGTCGATATTTTCATAAATTTGCATATCGACATTTCTACCTTTATCATTATTTTATAACACATTAAATTTCGCCAGGGCAAATGGTATACAAAAATCTTAAGTTTCCAGACTACTGTAAGGAGAATTTGAACTGGGCTATATCAAAGCAGTTCAGCTTCAACCGGTCCGGCCCATGTGACTAGCCCAAATAAATTGGGCCGATGGACTTCTGAGTCCGATGGAAAAGTAAAAGAACCAGCAACCAGGCGTACTCTCTAGAAAGAAAAAAGAGGAGTGTGGGAATAATCAAGTACGAGTCTGTTTCTTGTTTCCTGTTGGACTTTCCAGTCAGTCTTTGTTTTCTGGTCTTCCTCCCCCGGTCGTCCCCTCCTCCGGCGTCGTCTTCTTCTTGTTTCCCTTCTCTTTTTTTTTTCTGGTATTTTTCTCGGGCAGACACAGAGACCGACGAGAGTGGATGGAGGGTCAGCGGGCAGCTCTGTTTCAATGCCAGCGAATTGGCTGCAACGCCATGTTTTCCGAGGACGACAATCCCGAAGGCTCCTGTCAATACCACGATTCGGTACTCTCTCCCTCTTACTGTGCTCTGGTTTGGATGTGATAGAAGCAAAGTAAATTATCGTTTTCCCTTTTTCTTTTGGTTCAATTTGCATAATTAAAATATCCCAACTGAGATTAATCTCAAATTCTGTTTTTTTTTTTTTAACTCTTATTATTTGCTTGAATGCATATTTTCATCTGAATCTTAAAAGTAATGACCTTGAAATTTGCTTTTTAGTTTAAACTAATTTCAAACTAAATTGGGTTTAATTGATCCGAATGCTGCACATTGTGTATCTAATTAATCTGTTCCCTTGCTTGCTTTGTAAACTATGAAGGCTTTTAATTTTATGCATTTTAAAACCTTGTTATTGGAAGTTAATTCAATTTTTTTTTCTTGCATGTTTGGGCTCGGCTGATTGCTTCGGCATCTCCAAACTTTTCAGGGAGTAAGTATTGCCTGTTGATTTCGTTGTTACATCGCGTTTCTTTAGATTTGCTTTTGGGTCGATGCCATAACTTAAGCACAATGTACTTGTTTTTCCCAGCCTATATTTCATGATGGGATTAAAGAGTGGAGTTGTTGCAAGCAAAAAAGTCATGATTTCACCTTATTTTTAGAATTACCAGGGTAAGCACCGATTCCACTAGTATTTTTAAGCATGCCCTATAACTCCACAACAGAATGAATGGTCACAACGCTGAGATTTGAAGCAAATTTTGATTGTTTGTCGAATTATTGAGTCCTGAGTTAGTTATGGATTTGAGATTTTTGTTAGTATCAGTTAAGTTACTTAACTCTTCTTTCTTTCGTTTCTCTATTTGGTGAAAGCAGATGTAAGAGAGGTAAACACACAACAGAGAAACCAGTGTTGGCGAAGCCAAAGCCTAAGGATCCTGTTCCTTCTCCTACTACAGCTCCTGCTACTGATGCATCGTCAAAGCAGTCCTGCTCTAGGTGTCGCCAGGGTTTCTTCTGTTCCGATCATGGTACTTTCATTTGATGCTTGTTGCTTGAAGCATTCGATTACTGTCTATTCTTCATACATTGTGTAACGGGTCAGGAGGTTGGTTGGTTTGCGTGGAGATGATATAAAGTATGTGTATAGAAAATGTGAAAGAATCAATATGCACTCAAATATTAATGACAATGCAACTATTAGAGAGTCTAATAGTACCTTCTCATTGGGAGTTTTAGGGAAAAGTGGGAGTGATTTAATCTCCAAAGCCTGGTAATGATCCTTAACACTGAAAGATATCAGTGATAGGGGCGTGTTAAAAAATAACAGTAATAGGATGCGATACAAGATGAATTTTTACCCTTTAGTATTTACTGAGGAACACGATTTGAGGGAAATGGTGAATATTCTAATCTTCAGGTCTTGCAAAAACACAACCAAGCTTTGTTGTATTTGGATTTTGTTGGGGTTTTAATCTTTCTCGAGTACAACTAGTCGTGTATTTTAATCTTCATATCTTTACATAAGATAAGACTTCTTCTCAATGATAGCATAGCTGATCGATTTATTAGAATTTGTATTGCATTTAAGGCATCTGAGATTCTGAGCGATGTTCCCTTTCCAGGTGCACAAGCCAAAGAAATAAACTCAAAGCCTGTAAATGTGGAAACAACTCCACTTCCGGAAAGCATTACTGATGATCAAGGCACTTCTGCTCCACCGAAAAAGATTGTTGACATAAACCAGCCCCAGACATGCAAGAATAAGGGGTGTGGTAAAACTTTCAAAGAGAAAGATAACCACGAGAGTGCATGCAGTTACCATCCCGGGCCTGCTATTTTCCACGACAGAGTGAGAGGGGTGAGTGTACTACTATGATTGTCAATTCGGTCCAACATTGTGTGTTTAACTCTCTAGATATATAAATATGTATAATTTGAATAACAATTTTTTCTTTCGGTATCGCAGTGGAAGTGCTGTGACGTACACGTAAAGGAATTTGATGAGTTTATGAGCATTCCTCCATGCACCAAAGGTTGGCACAATGCTGATTCCTGACCCGGTATCTTAACATCAGACGCAGTGAAGGATGATTTGTTTTTCTCGTCTTTCTTGTCCTAAATTTTCTTGTTCCTGAACTGATATTACATTTCATGCAACCGTCCGCCACGAATATTTAGCTTCTCTCTGTACCACTTTTGGAATATATGAATTGTCATGTCCTGTGTTCTTGTTATGTTGAACAATAATTCATGGTGTCGAAATTGAACTTACTACGTCTCTACATATTAAGGTCTGCATTTCTGTCTGATGGAAAACTTGCCCTATTCTTCTGAAATCACGTCCGAATATCCGATCGTTTGATTGTCGGTCATTTGGTTCATCTCGGATTTGCTTGTTTCACCTTCTTCTCTCGTACGTTGGTGTTTTGGTCCATCTTCCTCTCGTACAGGTGAAAACTGGAAACTGGTTCTTCACTCAATGCTATTGCTCTGATATAATGAGTTTGCGCCCCACTATTTAGTAAATTATTGTGATAGAAGTATACTTGGAAATTTATTGTACGACCCGTTAATCTAACACGAAATGTCACGAAAATAACAGGTTTGGGTTAACCCGTTAGTTGTTATCGGGTCTTCTGTTAAGAATTCGTTAATGAGTTTGATCGTTACAGGATCAACTGTTAAAAATCCGATAAGTTATCAACTGTTAGATTTAGACATTAGACATAACAATCTATTACAGATAAGTTATCAACAGTTAGATTTAGACATTAGACATAACAATCTATTACGTGATCCGTTAAATCGACATGAAATGACACGATTCATTAACAAATTGGATTATTATCGGATCATCTATTAAGAATGAGTTAAGATAACGAGTTTTGCATAACATGACTTATTAAAATAACAAGGACATCACTATAATAAACACGATCCGTTTGTGAGGTCTGCAGATGGATCGTAAATAAGTTAAAAACTGTTGCTGACGAAAATTACCTTCGCCTCCAATGTGAAATTGCCTTTTGTGGCTCTGGGATATTGGACCATTGTTGGGCTTTTATTTTCTGCTTTCAGAGTGATCGAAGCCCGAATCTGGATAGAAGCTTTTACCGGTCCAACATAATTCACAACCATTTTTGTTCAACTCTTTAATCAATCATGCTAGAGTCAGTCGTTCATGTAATTGGCTTTCTAACATTGATACATATGAGGCTCACAACTCATCAGCAGTTATGGGCACATAAGTCAATGTTAAAAAGACAACCAATTCTCATGTTGTTGGACGAGTAAATCTTGTTCTTTATTGAAAACACGACCAATTTACCGTGATTGATGTTATTTATTTTTAATCTTTCATATACTCTTTTCAAATTCTAACGTCTAATTACTTAAACTTAAAAAAATCAAATAACAAAAATTGATTGAAAAATAAAAATGTGGATGACCATCCATTCATCATATCGTCTCTTAAAAAGATTGGAATGATTAAAAAGGACGAAAGAATTAAAATTAATTATAGAGGGTGAAGTTGTCACGTGTGTTACGATGGATACAATCAATCCCCTATGCCCCCCCCCCCTCTTTTATATCTCAACCAAATCTCAGGGTCCCACATTCCTTCCTTGTTTGCATGGGGTCCCACACCAAGTTTAGTTTTTGCATGTCCCACCAACAACAAAGTTCCGTTGCTTTGCGGGTTTGAGAGAAATTTATGATGGTAACACGGATGATATATCAAGTGTTTTATAGAAATTGTGAGATATTTTATTTTTTAAGTTATTAATTTTTTAACATACATATTCCACTATTTATATAATGATATGTTATGTATTATCTCGTGTACTGATCACATTGAAAAATCTCTTCTGATTTGAGTCATTGTTCGTTCGACCAAACCCATTTTTCTGCTTCTTGTTTGCATGCACACTCAAAATTTTCACAACAATTACAAAGATTGATGCTAGTTTTTCGAACATTGAAGTATATTTGGTCGATGTGGATGACATTTAAAGTTATAATATTTTGTCTCCGACGACACAAACTAATCTTGGTCAACTTGCATTATTAGTCAAAATCAACTCATAAGCATGCTGGTTAATTTATCTCTAACTCTTAATACA